GAATGAGAAATGTTCGTCATCGCTGAAGAATTTTTAAGAATATCTGTAACCGATCCAGTCTCTTTAAATTTCTTTAAAATAATACCATTTGCCTGAGTAGTTGAACGATTATATGCACCATAATCCCCTTTAAAAAATCGTAACGTTTAAATCTCAATTTTGTAATAGGTTTTAACCATTTTAATGCGTTGTGCGTTTGTTGAGCGATCCCTTTTCATAAATGTTTGACTTTTACCTTAAACGAAACATGTTTGGTTTGACAGTTAAATTTAAATACAGCCCTGTACTTTTGAAAGCACGAAATGGATAACCTTATATAACATTTTTAATTTAATTTTTAATTCTCTATTAAACAGATCTGTCTGTCTATTTTCTATGCATTAAGGTGTTCTGAAATGAGTAATAAAAGTATTTATTCCAGAAAGTTAGGTTATTTTGCCAAACTTAAAATTTTACCATAAGAAAGGGACCTTACTTGGAGTCATAATTGTTGTAAATATTCTACTTAGATCAGCGATATATATGGGTCATAATTATCATTAAATTCACACTGAAAAGCAGGATTAAATAGCCGGAAAGGAAGCTGACTTCCAACTTTACCCAAGAGGACGAGTTAGTTGATTGTGTGATGAATGCATTTAATATCATGTACGTATCCAGCACGACGGCGTACTTTGATAGATGATCAAACCTGGTGCATTTTCAAAAAGTTCTTTCCCACCGCTATACATATAGCTGGGACTAACGAACGATCAGACCTCTCATAGGTCAGGTATTCTCTGTGGACCAGCATTCAAATATTATAAAAAAAATAACAAAAGTTTTGCCATCAAAAAGCATTTCAAATTTAAGGTGTTCTAATCAGTTTCAAAAGTAGAAAATGTAAGAAATTTGAATAAATAGCAAGTAAAGCAAGTTAACGATTTCACCAAGAAGCTTTTGTGTCAACGATGGCAGACTAGGTTGCACGCTTCAGAGAGAACTTTCAGATGCTTCTTACAAAGAAAGTGTACCGAAACCGGTCTCAATACGAGAAAAAAATGTGTGCAATGTCTTTTAGATGGACGCCTATGAGAATCAATCCGGATTATTAGGGCGATCATGGCCTTATTTCTTTTCGATCTTCCCCGATAGCAATGCGTTTTACCATTTGAAATAAATAAATAATTAAAATTGCGAAATATAAAAAAATATATTAAATTTTTATTATTGACACACATCTCATGTTTAAATCTTCAAATTCGTGCTTGGCGTTTATATTCCTGTTATAATTATGTATACACACATATACGTGTATGTATGTACTTCATATTCACATTATGCCAGTAAGCATATTATCAACACACCTAAGCAAGCGTGTAAGCTAAATCTACTTAAAATGCAGTGAAGCACATGCTTATTAGTCATCCGGTTGCACGCACAGCCGCTCACACGAAAGCGAGCCAATACAGTCAACAGCAGCAACAAAAAGAGGAAAATTAACAAAATAAATACACATCCTTCAACAAGATCACCCAAATAGCCGCACTTCCTTGCAGGCGCTCCTTAGCTCCTGCATCACCATTATCACCACACACACACACCGACCCCTTTGATGAGAGTGCTCTTACACAAAGCTCAAGCATTATAGCAGCACCACCTCATCTCCGGCGACGGCAATAAATAAAATCCCATCGCGATGCAAATGCAAACGCAAACGACCAGCCAACAGACAAATTGATCCACTCGAAAATGCATTAAGAGCGCTTTCAAAGCGGAATTCCGCCAACACGTTACTTACCCAGCCTTGTCGCTTGGCTGTTCTAGGGGAGAAGGATGCGAAATTGACGTGGCATAACTGCGCGATGGTGGCGTTCTAGGGGATAAAGGGTTCCGGCCACACAGCCGACAGCAGCAGCTTTGGCTTTTGTAAAAAAAAAAATATATATATAAGCTGCCTGCGGCGTCTTTGTGTGTTTGCTGAACTTGAAGGTGCTGTAGTTGTTGCTCTTGTTGCCGCAGAGTTCGCCGTAATGATCATCATAATCGTTTCAATCGATATTTTTTTACCTTACTTCTACTTGATATAAGAAGCAGTTTATTTAAAATTTTTTTAAATGTTGTTTGTACATTTGCTCCGATGGATACAAACATTTTTGAATGTATATAAGGAGGTACATACAAACATATATTAACCTTTCAAGCCTCTATATATATATATATATCTATTTAGCTCAAAAATCTATTTAGTATATCCCATATTTGTTGTTTATCAACATTAATTCTTCCCATGCCTTTCACAATATTCATCTTCATTCATTGATGACGCTTCAGTACTTCCCCAGCCGTCTAAGCCAACAGCTCAAATATGCAACACTTAACATTTATGTCGGTCGTCAAGAATTTCGGTGTTGTGATTTTTCAACTGCCAGCACCCTCATCAGCATTGTGATAGCACCCCACAACACCCCTCTCTGGGCCGCTCTGCCTCCGCATCCACACTTTGTCGCGTTCACTGAAGATCACTTACTTTTGATCCTGCATCGATGCCTCCTCTGCACTCCACTTTAAGGTGATGATCCTTTGTTTGTTTTTATTTGCCTCGGTTGTGTGACAAATTATTAACGATCAGCACTCGCACTCGCACCGGCAGCGGCACTGGCTCCAGCACCACTTTAGTCCCTTTTTTATGGTCGAATTTTATTGCTTTTGTCTTAATAATACTTTTTCGTTGCGCTTTAGTTCTACATTTTACTTATTTTTTCATTTTAATTCTTCTCATTTATTTTTTCCCTTTTCTTTGCTTCATTTAAATTTCAGTGCGCTGTTTTCACCTTTGTTTTAAAAAAAAGAGGTTTTTTTTTTGCTTATTGCATTTTTGAGTTCTGCGCCTTCATCAGCGTTGTGTCCCTTTTCCGCCTTTGCATGTTGACAATTTTTATCACAATTTCATCCCCACCATTTCCCTTGTCATTCAGTTTTCTACATTCCATTTACTTTCTTGTACGCCCTGCGTCATCCGGCACTTTCGGGTTTTGATCTGACCGCCACTGATGTTGCGCCTTGTAGGCAGGTTTGGGGCGCTTGCTTTGATCAAGTGATCTCCAAAGCGGCCGGTGGCTGGCTGGCGTCATTATGCACGCGTGGTCAATATGTGTATCATTTTGTTGTTGATTGAAAGGCTGCTTGTGGGTTGGTGTGTCGCGCAGAGAGAGCCACTGATATAGATGTTTGAATTATAAAGCAACCAATTGAAATATAATATATCAATTACATACATATGTACTCGTACATATATATCTAATATTTTCTTGTTATAATATATATGCATATGTGAAAATCAATAAGAGAGTTTCACACACTCCAACCTGAATCCACGCCTGCTTTTACTACATCCATACTTACCCGCACTTTTTGTTAAATATGTTACATTCTTTTTCCCATCGCTCAGGCAGAAGATCAAAGACTTCGCCGCCGCACTAATATTAATTAATTAATTTTGATGGATATCAACTGTGAGAGGTGTTGAAAAGGTAGATGCTGATTCTGCATACCACAACCCAGAAATCGGCTTGGCGCAATGTCCACGATATGAAATAAATAAATATCTAAATGCATACTCGTACATACATACACGTACGTTACACTAAGCAAACTGGTTTTTCGCTAACAAGTTAACTAGCTTGTAGCGAAATTTGATTGTGCCGTCGGAGTACGGTAGTTGCAAGATCTGAGAAGTTTTTGTGCTAATCAAAATGTCGTCATCGACATCGATTGCTGTTTCATCTGGATCTTATTTTCCAATCCAACCTTTCCATGAACATTTTGCTTGGTTGGAAACGGTAACCTGATTTCATTTTTGTCTTCTTAGAATCCTCCGGTATTTCAGCGCTTCCATTTGGCAGCAGTATTTTTCGTCGGCAGTATTGAATTACAATTTTTGGAACTTCAAATCGGATTAAAATCGATGAGGTCGCGCTTAACACCTATGTCCCTGTAAGCTACGGCGGTTGCGGGGTATTTCATGGCTTTACGACCATACAAAACCGCTCAGCTCTTCCCACAAGTTCTTTCCTCAAGATATTTATATCAGTAAAACTTGTTAAATGATTTAAATAAAACTTAAGTTCGTGCCTTTTTTAATCCTTCAAAGAGTAGGGGAGGGGCTAGAGGCGATTCTTTTTGGTTTGAGCAGCTTACGACTTCTGGGCTTATCCCCTGATGACGAGCTGAATGCGAAGCCTATGTGGTTGTATATATAATGAATAAAATACCCCACTTTTGATGACGACCCTAAGTTTCATTATTTTCATTATTTATTATCATTAGCATGGACCTGGTTTGTCTGGTCTTTTAATTACAAAGATGTCGCCGCTGCCCGGCTGGTTAATGGTCCTTTAAGACTAAACCATAAATGTTCAATGTCCTTAGCACTTCATTGTATTTACTACATAGCATTGTAATGCGTTAGCAGCATAGTTAGCAGTGCATACCACCATGCGCAGAGTCATGATTTCGAATATCCAAAATTAACCCCTCGACAGTGACTGTCAACCGTCCCAGGGCACTTCTAACATGAAATAGAAGCTCCTCATAAAAATCCTTAAGCTGCTTGTAGGCAGGCGGCTCAGTATAAACTGTAGATTCCTTCATTTGTTGTAAAAAAAAACATCAACACGCACACCTCAAATTTGAGGAGCACGGCCAAAAATCGATTCAGAGTTTGTAAAGCGCTTATTATTTGCTTGGAAGGCAAAAGTCTTTCACTAGATGTCGTTCTTTTGATCACATATTAAAACAATAAAACAAACATTGACAAATATATTCATGGAGAGGTGTAATTTTGCTAATCGTTCTTTGTCTCTGGTTGAAGCACAGATCACCGTTGAAGGTAAAGAACCTTTAATAACTAAACGGTACTAAAGCAGGTAAACAAGTCTACTGAAGTTAACTTCTATGCTGTTTCGACGAGGCTGAAAGTTAAATTTTAAGAACCGAGGATTAGATTAACAAAATCCTCCTTTATCCCAGACTTCGAATGTGAGCAAAAGCGTATTAAACTAATTTTATTAAAATATAAGTATTTCATACACAAATCATTATTATCATTATTATCACATTATGGTTTTCACATCATTTTGGCGTGGGGCGGACCGGATTGACTTCACACCTTAGATAACGAAATTGGATTACAGTTCAAGCATAAGCACAGAGAAGCGTTACTCACCGGGCGTTGTTTGTCCCAATCGTGTTAGTGGGGATTGTTTCAAGCCCAACAATATCATAGCCAGCGATAGTAGTAACAGACGAGTTGGCGTTAAAAAACCTGCGTATTCATTGCACCTCACAGTTGGCGGTCCTTCGATGAGTCCGCCACGGGAACTTGATTTCGCGGACAATGCTGTCGCAACTATTAACAACAGTACGAATGTAACGGTTTGCATGATAAAATAGATGCTTTTCGAATCACTTCTTAATTTAAACAAATTTTTGATGAGCAATGCAAATGTTATTATTTAAAATATTTTTTAATCGCAATTTAAAAAATATTTTGTAATTTGATGGAAGAGTAATTGATAATTGAGTTTGTATGTTTGTAAAGTACAGTGGTTACACTGGTAGAGAAATTTTGAAAAAAAAATTGATCTAGATGAATTTGTTGATTATGAGCAGCGATGGAAAATGATCAACAATTTTGATTATTTAATAAAAAAATTCAAAGCCAGAAACAAGCTTATGGCGAAAACGTTCTTGGAGATTCATCGCTAAAAAAAAAGCAATTCTCCTAATTTATTAAATTTGTATATGCCTTTGAAGAGTCATATTGCCCATTGATTACAAATTCTCATGTTTACTAATTCAAAAATCATCTCCGGAGATATGCCTTGATACCAGCAGAAAAATTAAAGACGAGCTTTTGAATTTTATTATTTATTCGCAAAGTAAATTTTCATATCTCACATATGTATTGTATGTATGTAAATATGTCTGTTTTAAGATGGCAGCAGGATTTTGTCATTTGCCCGTTTCGGCAGTCAACAGAGCATCTGTTTTCTATTTTAACTCTGCTTTAAATTTATTTCAATTGCTCGCTCTTCAATGCATTATCTACATCCGTAAGATTTCATACATCATCGTTATTTATTTTGGATAAGATAAAAGACTTTCGCCTTTTGTGTTGATTTTCAAAATTATAATGTTTTTATTGCATACTTTTGCATTATATATTTACCAGTACATACATATGCAATTGAAAATTACTCGCAAATGAATTCAATCACTTGAGAGTGACGATACATATGTACATACATATATACATATAGTGTAAATGTGTACACATACTGATACCTGACATCATGATACGAAAATTCTATAAGGTGGTTTCATTTCGAAATTTTTGAGAATATTCTTTAAGCAGATGCTATGAATTAAAATATTTGTTTCAACCCCCTTTTCATAGGCGGAAAAGTAAGAAAAAGATTTGCAAGATAGAGAAATAACTTAAAAAGAACTGTCATTTTTAATTTTTTTTTCGAATCTAAGGCTTCTAGATTTTCTCAACTATATGCCAAAAGTTCGTGGTTTGGGACTCTGGTTATAGAGACATCCTGGGGAACTGCGGGATCGATGAACTGACCGGATAGGGATAGTCATAGCTCTGTTAAACTCTGCGGTCCGTTATCAATTTCTCCGAAATTTCTTCTTCGATTGCTTAGCACGGCTGGGCATCATTAATATGAACTTCGGAAAATGTAGAACCAACATAGGTATTATCAAGAGATCACGGCTGCGTGATGTTTAACGAACTAGCTGACTAATATTGGCGGTTGGTTTGAATGTTTGGAATGTTTAATCGAACGAAACTACTTTTAGCGTAACTCTAAATTTTTATAATTAATTTGCCCTTCTCTATAAAACCAACAATTATTGAAACGATATCCTGTTTGCTTAAAAAATGTCCTTGAAACATCTCTAAAACTTTGAGACTGATTTGCATTCAAACGTTGGTATAGCAAATCCAGCCTCAGCTCCTCATCTTATTCCATTCGATTTAAAATTTGTGCGGGAATCTCTTCTTTTTCTAATATTTTATAATACAACAATTAGGAAAGGCTTTCACTCGTTGATGTGTATTATTAGGGGACTCAAAATTCAATATGGTGCGTGATTTTTGAACGCTAAAACATTTAAAAAATATGAAAACTCTACACATATTTTTTATTTAAAAATGGTAGATTTTTTAAGAGAGGAGGTTAGCACGAAAACCCGAGACACGGTTAATGTCGAGTAGTTATGACGCCGACTGCGAAGAGATATTTTATCATGCCTGACATTGCTTTGGTATTCTACATATTATGTATGTATACATATATGTATATTCAAACTATTCGAGTACCGCAGTACATATATTATATATTTTTTTGGTATCATATATTTAGACTAAAACATTACTACAATAAGATTACAGATCACACAAGGGATTCGCATAGTTTTTCAAGGCCCGATTATTGCAATTATTGGTTTTATTTTCGTCTAGATATTATTTGAATAAGGAATTTTTTTCGGATACGTTATCACCACCTTCCGAAAAAATGAGTTAGACAATCAGGGAAGAGGTTACAATAACGGATATCGTTAGGAAAATCGAGCAGCGAGAGGAAACCCGATCCGCAAGCGAACAGTGTCTTCGACTGGAGCTTATACTATTTTAGTCGAATACTCATACATACACAGATTTTATGCGGTGCTTCAGAAAATTTGAAAATGGTGAAAAATGGACAAATAGCGATTGCGTTTGGTTAGGAAAAAAAGTTGTTTTATATATTTTGGACCACATTTTTATTCGCTTAATATCATACATGTTTCCAATTTTTTCTAACAGCAGAAGCGAATATGTTAAATCTTTGGTTTAAATCTGATAGTGACTTTGCCTTAGCCTTTAGAATTAAATTTGGCCAAACTATGTACCAACATATTTTATGTTCATCACAGATATATACGTATAACTACGAGATTTAGTGTATATTACCTCCCGATGTATTGAAGACAACAGTTTGACTCTTCTGCTTATTCGGCTTTAATGAAGTATAAATGAAATATTTATGGCAATTTTTAAAAAATCCATATTATTTAGAAATAAGCCCACTGTACTCTGTGATTATACTGAAAATTGGTTGGTTTCTATCTCTCTCTCTCTCTCATGGTTTCTGGAAGAGTTTGTACAAGCAAATTTTTTCGGGAACTGAGTGAATCAGTGACTGGCCAAATCGAAAATTCGTATTTATGGTTCGGTTTACTTGAAATTCGGTACATATGTATGTAGGTGGTTTTTTGCTTAGGCACACAAGAAGTCTACTCATCCCCTCGAAATCTTTTTACTAGAAATTCTGGTTCGGTCTGGTTAAATTTTTGGATGATAAGCCTAAATAAGCCTAAATTCGCTGGTTCGAAATGGAAAAGAGACCAGGAACGAAGTTTGATTTGCTCGAAATATAATATAAAAATTCTTACTTTGCGGGAAAGCGATCACAAAAAGATGGGAAAAGATTAGTATGATTTGGATATAAGCTTAGATTGTGCTTAGGTACATATATTTGCGTCGGAATGGTATTAAATATTCTGCGGATACAGATTACAAGCTATTCTTATACGAGTACGTTCACCTTGAGTGTGAATAAGCATAGATCGGAATAGTGTGTTTAGCTTACCGGGACATTCATATTGACATCTTCTTGAAAGATTTATAACCTCTGAACCAATTTTCTCTAATTTGTGATTTTGCGTCTTGATGTTTTTCCAACAAATGGAGAGACCTACAGTTTATACTAAGTCGGCTCCGAACGGCTGATGTTTTTTTTACAAGGAGCCTTAATTTCATGTCAAAAATACACTCGGAGGGGTTGGCAATCCCTGCCGAGTCACGACCGCAGTTAGAAAATTTAACTCAATTTCTTATTTAAATTAGTTTTCAACAACTTTTGGACGTTGGTCGTACCAGCGTTTTGGACCCTGGTTTTCTGAATGACAGTAATGATGTAAAAATTGAAACCAAGGAGAATTTGACAAGGTGAAGTTCCTCCGGCTGCGAATCATGGGTTTTCACATTGATCAAGTTGATTGTCAAAATTAGTTTTAGTTTGTGTTTTATTTGCTTGAAGATTTGTTATTTTGCGATTATGGTTTTTGTGAAAAAAGTGTGGAGTGGGGAGTTATATACGGTTATTGTTGTATTTGTTCTCCTGCTCTCACCTTCATGAATTCGTCTTGCTTCTAATTACCTATGTATATATGTGTGAAAAAAATATTTTGAAAATAAAGCATTAATCGATATCAAGACGAATTTATCAAGGTGGAATTAGTAGAGCTGCGAATTCAACTTTTTTCTTTTAATTAATAATTAATTCGCTTCAATGCAAAGGTAGTCAAAATGATTGTTTACATTTTGATTTTTTGTCATTTTTATTTCGAATATCTAATTGTATAGTCGAAAATTTTCAAATAAGATTTGTGACTTTTCCAACTTTTTTCCCATTTTGATGCCGATATTATGAGGATTTTATCTTCTCTTTCTCAAATGTTGGAACCATTTCGTGTACATTATAAAACCTACGAGATGGGTAGTTTTCGCTGAAGCTTGCTCAGCGTGACAGAAAAAAATATTAATCTTCTATAGAATCTTCTTCTGTGGCAAAAATGATTATAGTGAAAGCCTATTTTTCCATGAAACTACAGCTGTTAGGTCACGTTTTCGGGCACCCAAACTATGGCAGTGTTGCATTTAATCGAGTTATTTCAGATTGAATTGATCGATATTTCCTTCCATTTTTGCATGCATCAATTTAATTTAAAAAAAGTCGTGTCATTTTTTGCACCGACGCCTATTTCATGCTTCTTCTAACCAACTTAGCACATTCAATATAGAAACTCATCGAGGTCTTAAGGATAGAACATTTCTTAATAGGTGCATATGTATGTAAGAGTATGTACCTTCTTAAATAACAAACAAACGAATTTATTACTCTTCAATTTGTATAGCAGCTGTAAAAGGTACATTTATACATACGATTATACATACATACATATATACTTACATAAGCTGAATTTACATACATACAGACATATAGTACTGTAATTGTATTTCATAACCAGTTTTGTGTACTTAGCACAAATCACAACTCAACTTTAGCTTCACCATAAATTTAAGCTACTCCAAGTAAAGGCACTGCAGAACGTGGAGAGTTATGTGCTTTGCATGTATGTAAATCAGGCGCCATTACAGCATTTTTATTTAACGGCGGACATACAAACATACATATATGCCCACTCCTTTTATGTTCCTCTTTCGTATCGCAAAAGGAGCGCATAGGAAACAAAATACCAGTTTTTGGTTAATCCAATTACTTTTTCATTCTCTTGCCAAAGCACAAAACAAATGGATATGCAGTCAATGGGCACAGCAGAAGGGAAACAACTATAAAAATGGTGGCGTCATCATGCATTTAGCTACCGTAAGGGGTGGTTCTTGCTGTCGTCGACAGCTTAAGCCAATCACAGCCGAGTATTTCGTTTCCATTCGATTTCGCTTGTGTGAGGTATGACCAGAGAGAGTGCATATACATATATATGCATATATATAGCAATTGTTGTACGTTCTTGATATGACGAAAAAGCGAATATAAAAACTGTTGGCAAGACTGTTTTCAATGCTCTTTCCGTACAACTAAATACTTTTAGCATTTGCAACTATTGCAAATATGCATATATGTGAATACATATGTATTTAATGAATTGAAATAATTTCAGCTAAAATATAAAAGTTTGCTCAATAATAAGAGTCTGAGCCAAAATTGTTTGTATTGTTCTTATTGTACATTTATATGATAAGGCAGAAAATAAGCGTTACATCGTTTATTCATTACACAATACATTACTGTTCACAATGCTAATGTCCTGCGAAAGGAATGTGCCCAGAGCGACGTAAGAATCTCTTTGAAAGTTTATGGGTTATGGGTTTGTTGGGAAGTTGTTAGCAAAGACGCACATTACCACCGCGCTTATTATTACAATTGAACTTTCTTAGGTACATACATATGTACATATCTATATATAAGTGAATGACGTTACTTTTGCTTCATTGAATACTTACATATGCATATGAATATATATTAAACTTACTGCTTCGAAATTTATATATGATATATTTGTATGTATACTATGAAAAGCTGTTTCACCTCGACCACAAATTATTTAATAAATTAAAATAAAATAATTTAGTATTTTAAATAAAATACATATTAAGCAAAACAAACATTTCCAGTCCGTACAATTCCACTTATGCCGCTCTCGGATGTTAATGTAAAATACTTTATGTAAGATGATATACCTAGTGTATATGTGTATCTATATGTTAATACAAGAATCCTTTCTCTCACATGATTTCATTTAATTTTTCTTATTCTTTCAGACCTCACCCACAACGCCTCAAACGTCGCCCAGTGATCATCTGTCGCGGCGCACGCCACTTCGTAGCCAGTTAACATCTCAAGCTTACAACAGCCACTTGCCTTTTGGGCAATCAACAGCGCCACAACAACAACTATCCACAAAAATGTATCATTCCAGCACCGGCTATCCAGACCTGACGGGCGGCGCAGCAGGCAATGGCGGTTATCATCATCAAACCGCCATGAATGCTCCCGTCTATGTACCCTCCAACCGCGCACTTACCCAGAGTCAATACAATCATGTCGCTACACATTTCGGTACCGCCGCTGCGCAGAATGCGTGGACCACAGATAGTTTCGGCACTGCGCATGCCCAACTGCCAGCACAATTCTATACGATGGGTTCGTGGCGCGCCGCATATGATCCCACCGGCTTTCAGCGCTCCTCCCCCTATGAGAATGCGATAGACTTTCAGTTTGGCGAGGGTCGTGAATGCGTTAACTGTGGTGCGATCAGTACGCCATTATGGCGGCGCGATGGTACCGGACATTATCTGTGCAATGCTTGCGGTCTCTATCATAAAATGAACGGCATGAATCGGCCGTTAATCAAGCCGAGCAAGCGATTGGTGAGTGCAGTGAGTGTTGAGCTTATATTTTTCTAAAACTTACTGTTTCTATTTCGTTTTTTCTTTTTCACCCTTACCTTTGCATGCGTGTTTTTAAACTAGATTTTATCCTTGCAGACAGCCACAAGAAGGCTGGGTTTGTGCTGCACCAACTGCGGCACACGCACTACAACGCTTTGGCGTCGCAATAATGAGGGCGAGCCGGTGTGCAATGCCTGCGGCCTGTATTTTAAGTTGCATGGCGTCAATCGACCGTTGGCGATGCGCAAGGATGGCATACAGACACGCAAGCGGAAGCCGAAAAAGTCCACCAGCTCGAGTGATGTCTCGAAAGATGGCAAAGATGACGGTGAGTAATTGTAATTGTAATTGAGTGGCGCTTTTTAAATTATTCTCGCCTAACTTTAACTTAATGTTGTGCTCTTTGTAGATTTAAAACCATCGCTCGCATTGGAACGACATAGCCTACCCTCATCTGTTGCACTTTCCGCCAAACTGCAATCGGATTTGGCACTCAAAAGCAACAGCAATCATAACAACACACTTGGAAGCATGAATAATAATAACTCTTTACATAATCTTAGCCTAAACGCCATCAATTCATCGCCCTCCACTGGCTCTTTACACAATTCGCTCAGCCATCATTTGCATTTGCCGTCTGCAGCAGCACAGCAATCCCGCCATTCAACTATTTCACATACGCATGCCCATGCTCTCTCCTCCACCAACAACACACCCACTGTACACTCAGCCACCACCGCCTCGTCACTCAACTCCAATATGTATTCCCCACAAAACAACGTGAATAGCGCACAACTTTCCGCCTCCTCATTCGGCTCGCACGGCATCTCCAAGTACGAGCATCTGCTTTCAACCAGTGGCAGTAGTGGTGGCGGTGGGGGTGTTGGAGGTGTTGGCGGCAACAATATTGGAAATCTTAATAATTCCTCTACCAACGCTGTTACGCTCTCCAATGGCATATCCAGCAGCACGCCAAGCCCCAACTATCACCATTCAGCCTCAGCGGCGGCACATTTGCATCACCATCATCATCACCACCACCCCTCCGCGTCGGCAGCGCATCATGCGACGTCACATCACTCAGCAGCTGCGTTGAGCCAACACAGCGGTGGCTCCCATATTAGTTCGGGCGATGGTAGCGTGGGTGTTGGCGGTTATGGTGTCAAGTCGGAGTCCAACGCCACCAACTATGATTATGTGAGTAACTGTTACTTCAGCAGCTCGTTTCCCCCATTAAGCGCATCTACGGCGGCGGCTGCTGCCGGCACTGGCATGAGCATGGGCATGGGTATGGGAGTGGGCGTAGGTATGGGTATGGGTATGCATGGTATGCACGGCTCGTCAGGCGAACTTGCAAGCTACCATCATCATCAACACAATGTCATACAGGCGGCCAAACTGATGGCGACATCGTAAATGTGAATATCGACTGATCGGAGTTCCCGGTAGAGCCCCCAAATTGCTTAAACCTAAATATTGAGATTTTGTATTTAACCATTTCGATGGACAAAAGACTTCTATAAAACCAAAATCAACAAAAATATCTTCAATTTAAATCTCATATAATTAAAGCATTGTATATACTTGCATACATACATACATACATACATACATAAATAAGTTCAATAAGTGGTGCATGTAAATATGTATGTATTTTGGAGTTTAAATAGTTTTAGCAACATTAAATAGAGTTATTTGCAGTTTATTAGACATATCTTTAATTTAATAAAAAAACGTACTTATACATATGTGTATGTATGTTTATTATAAGACTTTAAAGTAAAATTTAACTATGTATTAAACGTCAGTTTGTAAAATGGAGAGCTGAAGTGTATTAAATTTAGTATAAGTGCAATAAGAGAACAATAATAAAATTATATAAACAGCATCGCTCTCTTTTATTGTTAATTACATTTTTTTAAACTTTCTGTTGTTATTAATTACGGAGTTAAAAGGTCTCCGCTTCATCAGCAACTATCAATTGCGTCAAGTCTGCTCATTTATAACAATAAACCTTATAATACAAAAACAACCAAAAACTCCTTCATGTTCAATAAGATGTATTTTATCTACAATTTTTAACTCTTAATTGTTTATACCAGAGATGCTCAACCAGAGAACCACTAAGCTCTCTGCTCAACTAACAGTGTTATAAAATTAGCCCAATGTTGGTGTCGTTCAATGAATGTACGTCAATTTAGTTTAGACACAAACCAATGTGCTGGGATGGCGCACAGATGTCGCTACGATCGGCATTTCGTTCACCTTTGTCAAAGAACGTATATTATCATGGCTATGACCGGAACTGCAAACATTTTCACCAGAAAAACTTAGCGGACTTTTAATTTTTTACCGTTTTTTTTCAATTTTAATTGTTTGTAAATTTTTTAAATGGTAATGAATATTTTGATTTTTGATTGTACTTCCGGCCATAGATATACATTTTAGGAGAAAAGTGCCGTTTAGTTCATGTTGATAACTTCAAGAGGTTCTAAATGAGAGTGTCACCCAGTTGAAAAAATTTTTACCCTTATTTTGATTTCAAAAATTGAATTTGAAGATCATATTACATCTTCAAAGGGTACCTAAAAGAGAACGGTCCAACTGATAGGTAACGAAGGGTTAAAGTGTTCAACAGAAATTTCGAAGACAAACAATTAATTTAAATTAGATTAAGAGGTCAATGTTATGTGAGAAATTAATATTCCAACAGCAAATGTCGAACTAGTTACTCATCAGATATTCAGGTGCAGGTTTGAATTTTAAGTTATATGGAATTTACCGTTACTGGAATTTTAAACAGCTTTTGCAATAAACAATGGTGGGCACTGTTGTTGTTGGAATTGTTAAAGTTAAAATAAAATATTGTGTCGACATACACTTATGTTATGTATAATTTTGAATTCAAAAAACTCCAAGTGTTATTAAATACGCATGATATCATACAAAATTAGATAAATGAATTGGATAATTCTAATATGCTCATTTTTATGCGAACAATAATTTTGATTGAAATGTCAGTAGTAGCTTTACGTACATACATATGAATGTGTATGTATGGATTTGTACAAATATGTATTACTTTGAAAAAATATCCATTTGCAACGCCCAATCGATTTCCGCGAAAATCTTGCCACTTCCGCAGCATGACTCTAGCAAGTTCGCGTCATATGGTTGTTGTCATTATGGCCGGTTTGGATTTTTTTGGTTGTCTTCAATGCGTACTCGTTGCAGGCAACCTAGAAAATCTCATGACTTTTCTCTCCACCATGTCTTCATTCGTGGTTGCCTCTTTGCCAGCGAATAATTCCAAATTGGCACCTTGCAAGCGTCAAGGTGATTTCGCATTATTCTCCGCCAATACGTACTAGTTACATCCACCCATACATGTGTATATACACTATGTATGTATTTATATTCGTTTAAAACAGTAAATAAAAGCGAAGAGCAAAATGATGGAAATTAGTCAACAAAAACTGAAAACAAGATTATTGGAATGCCAACTTGAATTAGCAAACTTTTGAACAAAAACCAAAAGCGAGGCATAAAAGTGCATACCGTTAATAGATTGTAAATGGAGGCGTCAAACGTGACTTGGAAATCCAAATAAAACGCAAAGAAAAAAAAAAAACAATGTTCCGTTAAAACTTGCTGCAAAATTAACTATAAAGAAAACAAAACAACTAGCAGGGCAAAGACAAATAAACCGGTTGAATACGCCTAGCAAAGAGTTCCTACAATAGATGAGGTAGTCAAAAAGAAACAAACAAAATGGAAAATTACATAATAACTTGGCGCCAGCAGCTGTAACAGTGGCGGAAGGTCTGTGCCGGTCGCATGAACGCATGCAATACCGGCGAATAAAATACGTACGCTTATACCCAATAAACACTAGAGCGAGTAGAGCGAGGAAGCTGTTAGTCCAGTTGGCGAAAACTGTTACATAGCCGAACCAGCCGAAAACATAGTGACACAGCTGGCACAACCTATCTTATGAGAGCGCCACGCTTTCCGTCCTCGTTACTAACGTTTGCCCTGTAGAAACCAACGGCGATTGGATTTCTCCCATTAGAAACGACTCATACGTATGAGTGGTTGCATCCTAATTTCTTTTCGAATATCTTTCTCTTCAAAATAAATACTTAGTAATATCCGAACTACAACTTCAAAGGTGTGAGGGTCTAAAGTCATGGCGTGGCATTAAAGTCGGGAGCGTGCTTGATGTTTTTTAGACAACCACTCCTTCTTGTCCACCTTCAATATCAGCTGCATTCATTAGACGCTTGTCCAATGTACTTTTTATTAATTTCTGGAATCCATTGTGTTTGTTGGGTATATATGCATGCATAATATAGGGTTATCCATTTTGTAACATTTTAAATAAATTTAAAGAGACTGGATCGGTTACAGAGTTCTCTGAAAACGACAACAGCCTGCAATTGAAGAGCACGACTTGAAGTATATGTTGTTTCTATTGGACGGTGGCACATGCGACACAACGCGAACGAATATGGCGTTATTGGCGGTATATGGACGTTGATCTTTTTTGTGAAGTTCACGTGGTTCGTGTTTATGAGGATAAACGTTTAACTCCTGAGTACTTGAAAACCATGTGAAACCGATGTGTGCGAAAATTACATCGAGGGTGAGAGGCTTCAGAAGTGGTGTCATGGAATTTGATGGAAGAAAATATGCCGAATAGATTTTATTTACATTTATTTTCGAAGCCGCAATGGATAACCCTGTATATTGCCAATATATTGTAGTTAATGCCGTGTCGTTTTTGTTGTTGTTCGCTATTTAACGCCAGCAGCGAAAGAGTTTAATTATTTAAATACAATTGGCTGTGCACATCATTTAATCCATCATATCAAACTATTATTATTTCCTTAATTTATATTAATAAACTGAAGAAGTAATAAAGACATCGACTGCTGCTCAGTTCCTCAGTTCCGCACACAGTCATGATCGATTGCCTTCGCATGCAAATATCTCAAAGCTTGGTTTCAGCTTACATTAATTTAGCCTGGCATTTTCTGGTTAAAGTGGGCAACGGCTTCTCCAAAAAAAAAATTTTTTTCATTTCAGGCGCTAACATACACACAGCTGTATTGAGTGATTGCCTAATATGTGTCTAGTGTTTATGTTTCGATATTTTGCAATTTGAACGAATGGATGCACGCCAGCGATCTCTGTGGCATTTAGTAAACTGGCTTTTCATTTTGTTACACCATCAAAATGCGGGCACAAAGAAAATTACCGGTTACTAGTTCAAAGGCTGCTTGTACATCTCTACTTTATGGGTTAATGAATTTTATGCAATTTAAAGACTTTCTAACACGTAAACAAAATACTTCCTTAGCTTGGGGAGATGTAAGTATGTACGCTTTTCTGTTATTAACAATTTCTTCTAATAATCGGCATCGATCAGTTGTGCGAGTACTCTCTGCTTAAATGCCCTGGGCTACTCGAAAAAACTCGAACAAAATTTCGATCTCAAATTTTCGGCGAGAAAATCGTTTTTTTTTACTTTCGAAATACGCATGACTCTTTTTTCTCTTATTTGGCCAATTCTTCTATAAAAGCAAAAACAAATAGCAAAGGCACGGGAAAGGAAAAAGGCCAAAATAACTAATATTAAATATTAAATTACGCAATTACGCTGGCGAATGGAGCCAACTTTATATTACTACTAAGCTCATGCCTATAATACGAGGGATAGCTCATCTGAAAGGGGTCTCCAAAGCTTTTGTGTATCGACATGTCTTGCTCTAGTACTTCTTAATATCATAAAAAATGTGATTTTCAAAAAAAAAAAAAAAAAAAAAAGGTTTTATTTGTAAAACCGTTCGGGGGCAGTATGGCATACCAGTTGCAATCATTATACAATATTCAATTTTTCGACTTTATGTAAAACCAGAAACACTTTTGAGTATTTTATGTAAACAAGATGCAAAGAAATGCATGTGTGTGTGCAACTGGAAGGTGTGCAACTGGAAAAAAACACAAACTTAAAGACCGAATAAGTTGTAAAAGCGGAAAGTGGTCAAACCGCATACGTTAGTAGTAGTATGTTTGTAAATATTATATTTACACATAACACCGGATGATTTAAAGACTTGTTCGCTTTTATTTATTTATGTACAAGTGCAGCGATGAGAGATGCGAGATTGGCAGGCATTGCATGGATAACCAGAGTTCATGGTAGCATTGACTCAATTTTTGTTGCAACACTACCACATAATTACATATAGACTCGTAGTTACAACGAAGTAGACAAAAAAAGAAAGACGAATATTTATTGACTTTTTGGACGGATTGACTTTTGGCAGAAGCAAATAGTTGGGCTCAAGTGATCATCATATCAGCGCCTCATTTTGCCACGAGTCGTCGGGCTTAACGGTTGTGATCGAGTGCAAATAGACGAAGTATTGTCAAAACTCATTTAAGTCGACCGCGGAAATCATCTACCTCGACAGTGGCACTGAAAGGACATCCATCCACACATACACACAAATCTCTTAACTCTCACATCTCTTACTAACAAGTGATTGCAGTGTAATATTCAAAAACAATAACAACAAAAGAAAATTAAAACCCTAAAATAAAGGAAAATGTCACGCCCTAGTGTTAGTTGGAAGATCCAATGCAGTTTAAGCATTTGCAGTGCTATTTGTCTGACGCTGTCAGCAGCTGCTTACACCCGCGAAATAATAAATAATGCGCCACAACTGCAAGAGCGACGTAAGAAAAATATAAATATTATTGGATCCATTCCGAAATAACTATACCCTACAGCTTACTCTAAGGGTCCTCGGAACGGCCGATGAATTTTCTATAATTTCTGAATGTTTGGTCAAATCGGGACTCGCGCCCTGGCGCAAAAGACGTGAATGGTAGTACGCAACACTAATCACTCGGATATAGCGATGATGAACGACAATTTTTAAATTTTATAGAAAAATCAAAAATCATTGAATTGTTATTTATTACTAAATTTCGTAAAATTTTTTTGTGCTAACAAAAGTTTTTTTTTTGGGTTTTTAGAATCATCTCTGAAAATCTCAAAATTAAATGACCAAAAACGCAAAAAGAAACAACGCGAAGAATCACAGTTAAGCCAATGTATCAGAGTGCATGAGTGATACCCCTGCTGTGAAGTCATAAACGGTTCTAAGAGAAAAATCATAAAAGATTTGAAATTATCAATTTATGAAAACGAAACTTCGCGCACAAAACCGTGATCGTGATGAAATTAATAAACAAAATACAGATTTACATTCTACTTCCCAGCAAGCCTATTTCATACAGGATGTATTTTTTGGTTTGTTTTCAATTTATTTATTGATATTTTTACGTTAAAAATAGGAAGTTATTAGGACAACAAAAACAAGAGAAAATTATTTAAATTTCCGTACGAAAAATTTTCGAAGATTAAACTTTTTCACAGAAATATTAACACCATTTACGAAAATATATTAGAAATATTTATTTTGAGAAAATTGGTCGTCAGCAATGCCTACAGCAATTCGAAGGCCAGGGTACGAGTCCGACAAATATTCAAAATTATTGGAAATTAATTTCTTTGATTACAACAGCTGCTCAGCATGCTCCATCGGTCGTTCCCTTCATTTATTTTTATTATATACTAAACTTTATCCTCTACTTCGTCCAGATTACTTGGTTTTTAGGGTCGCTGTTTTTATAACATATAAATTATTATGTTAAAATAAAACATGTTTTGAATCCTAATTTCATAAAAACCGAACCGGCTTTTTCTAATAAATTTGTCCCTGGTCCACCTACCGGAAAACCCTTTGATATCGGGTGCCTACGTCAAACCGAAAACACAAACATCAACTTTCAGGTCTCTAAGATCAGTGAATTGGGCTGTGGGTTGATCCACTAGGCATTCCGGTCACAGCCTTTATATATATGTATGCATAGTGTAAATATCCTTCGCACAACTTGGCAATTTCAACGATAATCGTTGGCGTTATGGAGCTCGTTTTGAAAACTCCTGAGGCTATCTTATCGAATATAGTCATCGTCCCAGCTATAACACCATTTGGCAGAGTGATGACTTGTCTGCAACTTTGACTCTGATCATGTATACTGACCTTAAGCAACACTATAAGCTCCGTCAAGATCGGGAAGACCCTCTCTGAGCCTTTCGATACCAAACAAGGTTTCAGACAGACATTTTTGACTTACTTCTGAAAAAATTGTAAGGAAATTTATAGAGAAGATACAATCTTCTATAAGAGTATACAGCTGCTGATGTACGCCGATGATTTCGACATTATTGGCCTCAACAACATCGCCGTGAGCTCTGCTTTCCCGAGAAGAGACGAAATATTTCCTGTCATCAAACATATAGTCATTGCATTTGCGACTCGGCCCCCATGTGACTGATGGCAGTCAAACTTCCAGGTCGTCTTTCTGGGTTCCAGCAGAGTCATCTTGGACTGAGTAGTCAATTAAATAGTGAGGTCCTTTCTTGGCAAGGGAGAACCAAACTCTACAAGTCGCTCATTCTGCTATATAACGCAGAAGGGTGGACGATGTCAACATCTCATAGGTCGAACCTGGAAGTCTTCGAGAGAAAAATTTTACTGGGTAGGTCATGTCGTCCGAATGGATGAAAGCAGTCGCCGCTGGTGGAAGCAGAGAAAGAGGTAGACCTCCATTCCGTTGGAAGGATGAGGTGGAGAGTGACCTGACCTCGCTTGGTATTTCTAACTGGCGCCAAACAGCGCAAAAAAGGGATGAATGGCGCGCTAATATTGATTCGGTTATAATCGCGTAAGCGTTGCCAACGCCAATAAAGAGAAAAAAATGTATATAAGCTTCACCAAGTGCTGAGTGTCTCTGAAAGCCTGAGATCTAGTCCATCTGTGCGACTTTTTGATGATTATTTTTGTTCTTCCGTTCCGGAGAAAGTGATCTGTGGTATCAAATTTGGATAGTTTTCGTTGTGTAGTCTGTTCCGACATAATGGGGAGGGCAGCACAGTCCAATAGCGGCGGTTTCTTAATTTAATATTTTCAGCTTTAAAATTTATAGCGATAAGGTTTCAATGCAACAACTCTTTACAAGTTTGTGTCTACATATTGAGTATAGGAATGCTCATTTATATTTCTTATTTCTTTTCTTAAAAATTTAGCACCCTGGCTACAGACCTGCAAACGTTCAAATCCCAACGAAGATAAGTGCTTTCGACGCCTCTTTGAAGGCTGCTTTCCCGCATTAGCGGCAGGCGTACCTGAGATTGGCGTAAAAAGCTTCGAGCCATTGCATATAGACCAGGTTTCTGTGTCGAAAGGCAGTGGCAATTTAATACTATCGGGAGGTTTCCAGAATCTTATCATACGTGGACCATCTAATGCTACAGTGCGAAGAGCCAAGTAAGTTCCCAAAATAAAACGATGTTTTTTATTTACATATTTATGCATTTATATTAAAAAAAAAAAAAACTTTTAGTCTTGATCTGGAGAAGAAGTTAATGAATTTCGAGCTAGACATACCACTGCTTCGAATACGTGCCAAATACAATTTGAAGGGTAATATACTCTTGCTTCCGCTGATCGGTAACGGTGATGTGCGTATGGCATTGAAAGATGTGAGAACCGCTGTATACACTAAAATACATCTAAGCGATGAGCCGGAGGTAAGTATGAAACGGTTTTCGTTTGATTTCCTTTGCTGCAGTAAATTACACAAAGAACAATATTTCCACTTCCAGGAAGTGATCCGTATTGATGAGATGAAGGTGACTTTCCATGTGGGCGCGATGCGTATTCACCTGAGTGACCTTTTCAATGGCAATGAGATATTAGCCGCATCCATTAATAATTTTCTCAATCAAAACGCAAATGAAGTGATTGCTGAGTTACGTCCTGACTTAGAGCTGGGCTTGGCGGACATTTTCCACGGGTTATGGAACAATGTCTTTTCGAAAATGCCACTCAAATTGTGGCTACTGTGATTTCGATTGGCCCTTCATGTTGTGTTTCATTGTTTTTGTAATGATTAATCGTTGAATTTATATTTATTGTTATATGAAATAGACTAATGTTTTTAATATAATTAAACTTTAAATAATCCTAGAGGTAAAACTAAAATCACAACTGTATTGAATATTGGGGAACAAACGGCGAAAGATCAAACAAAAATAATAGTTTAAAAAAATAAAAAAATTTGTGTTGTCGTAAATGGACACAACTGGAAACTTTATTCTAAAATTTAAAATCGATGGCGGTTATTAAGGTTATCGATGTACGGTGTACGCAGGAGTTTTTATACCCTAAAGGTGCGATCAACATCCAAATTTTATAGAAAATTAATTTAAATAAAAAATTAAGCTAAATTTTATAATTGCGGTCTCCCCTCGCCAGGGATGGTCAACCCCTCCGATTGTTTCTGACATGAATTATAGCTCCTCATAAAAAAAACCATGAGCTGTTCGGGTGCGGCTTAGTATAAACTGTTCATTTGTTGGAGGAAGAACTCGGCCGAAAATAGCTTCAGTGATTACAAAGCGGCAATTATATATATATATATAAAGGTGAATCGAGAAGGATCTCACCAACCGAATCGGTACTAAAAGAACCAGTTAACTCTCTGCGAACTGACGCCATTGTATTTTGGGCCAAACAGCACCCATAATTTCGAGGTTCTATAAAATTTCGTCTTTCTTTCAACCAGCATTGGCTTCAACACACAAATACTACAAGTGATGGAAGAGAAAAGTTTGGTACAACACCGTTGGAATTATCAGTTGGAATTATTGCAGATAGAGAATCGCGTCAGTGGAAGAACTATTTCCTGGATACTTCAGCTTCCGAAATTTAATGAAAGCATTATTTCATATTGATATTCGGTCTGATATCTCATGCCGTTGCAGTGCTATTGAAATGATAACAATTGGAAGAAATTTATTTATTTTTTTAATAAAGAGCATTTAATCAAATTCGGTTTTCTCTTTAAGAATGTTTAGATTTATGCCATATTCACTCGGGCAACAAATCATCAAAACTGTAAGTATCAAATATCTTTGTCGCGGAAGCGCGCACAATGTCCGATATTGAAGTCTCCATCATTGGGCGCAGCTCATTCGACAGCGAACTCCAATTCTCATTTAAAAATGTATTCATACGTTCGCCCAATGCCTCGTCACCATTGAAAAGATTGCTTAAATACAATTCCGCGTTACCAATGGAGTACTGCACTTTCACATCCTTCACCTTGGCAAATAGACTATTATTTTTGATATAGCGCTCCGCAGTAATCAATGTGCTGAGCTCAACGTCGGCTAACAATCAGAATAATTTGGGTTAAATTACAACCGTAGTTTACGATGCAGTGAGTTTCCGCCGCATAATTATTGTAACTTACAGAAATTCGCCTTAAAGTCGCCATTCCCCATCAGCGGCATCATCATAATTTTGCCTTTCATAACATATTTCGCGTCCATAGCCACCTTCGGTACGCTCATCACCAGTGTCAACCTCATTTTCTTCGGATTTATATGCAGCTCATTGATCGTGTAATTGGCCAAGCCGTTAACGGTAATATTTTTAAAAGTTGAATGCAGATAGATGGCGCCCGAGTCTTGGTCCATTTTAATTTCCGGTATTACCAACGGTGTTATGGGCGGTATAAATAACTCTGGAATGCCATAGTGGAAGAGGTCTTTCATCGCGAGCAACGACTGGCGCGCACACATATCCAAATTTGGATCATTGCGACGGCACACCTTCACAAATGAGGCTATGAGCGAAGACGGAAGTTAAAGAAAAACTTTTTTTTTTTACAAACACATTTTCATTTTTCTTACGTAATTGCGGTCGCTCCTTTTTAGAGACTGGACCTGCCGAAACTGCGCCAACTGAAGCAGTCAGTAGAATTAGGATATAATAAAATTTCATTTTTACTAGAGTAGATCAGACCTCACGCCCCCACACTTCACTGATTTCTGAATAGTTGTTTGTAATTGTTGGGTTTATAAAGAACTGGAATCGCTGACCTGTTTTGTTTTCAAAAGACATAATTCAAGGTAGAAGACAAAGTTATCGGCGGTCAAGCGATGACATTGCCGCGTCTGCATTTTAGATTTGTTTCTTTATAATGTTTGATGTTAATAATATTTACATTAAAAATAAGAATATGTTTCTATTCAAGTGCTCTTAATGTTTTTATTTGTTGTTGTAAGACATCTCATTACAGAGACACAAATGAGCAGAAGAATTAAATATATATATATCTACATATACATATATATATATATATATATATATGCATATACATTACCTACTTACTTGTATATAGCCGAGTTAGCAATATTGCGTTCTTCGTTTCTTCTTTTCTCTGTTTGGCGCCAATTGGAAATACCTTCTCTACGTGGTCTTCTCAACAGAGTGGAGGTGAGAGACTTGTAGAGTTTTGTTTTCGTTCGTCAATTGTCTACTCAGTCCAAAGTAGCACCTGTTGGCAAGGGTGATTCTGCGCTGAATTTCAAGTCTGGGTAGTAATGGGGAGTAGTGAAGCTTCTGGGTATGCAATTACAGTCGCGGGGCTATACTCAATTTCTACCTGTGTGGAGCCTGGGTCACAGCCAAAAGAGAGGAAGCTTCTGTGGAGCCACTTATTCGGTTTAAGGGTTCATCGAAGTCCAAATGCAACGTCAGTTCACCAGAGATGTGGCAGCGGGCGGGCGTAGGTCTTGAAGCAAGCGGCTCGCGAGGAGCTCGAATGAAAAGTTCAACAACGCGTCGGGTAAACACTTTTTCTTAATATTATATTTCTGTTTAAAGCCGCATTTTCTCGTGTTCAAAGAAATACTTGTAAATAGTGCCCACACGTGATGCATTGCAGGGAAATTGAGGGCGGGCGTGGAAAAGCTGAAATGCATAAGAACACGGAGCTAACGAATCATTTGCGACCAAAAGTTTTACATAAGAGGTCAGTGAGGCAAGAGGCGTGGCATCTCCAAACCGATTAAATTGACTTCACTCTATATATGAATATATTATAATTATATTTATTATTAGATTAATTTAGTAAACCGGTTCCGGAGGTCACCGCCATCTTTCGGAACATGAATTAGTTTTAGTTATTTGCCAAAGAATATAAATGAAATCCTTAGATAAGTATATATCAAAGTAAGTTTATTAATTACATTTGAGACAAACAACATATAACATATTTTCATTACAAGAGACTTGGAGATACATACATTTGTCTATACTACATAGCTACAGACCGAACAACTATCGATCTTGGGTCATGGATGCGAAGTCGCACTGTACAAAAAACATAAAGCCTCTTGTGTTTTTCTTAAAAAATCATCAGTCCTGCAATTACGGTTTAAAACCTGTAGGCACCTTCGATCGAGATTTAAAGGCTAAACACAATGTGTATTATTAGTAAGGTCTTATGATTTCTATACTAAGACTTAGATTATGCACATATACATACATATATATTAGATAAATGGTTATGTTCTACATTTACATGTGATTTGATTTGTGATTGACTATAACAAAGTCTGTAAACAGTGTTTAACTCAACATTACCGCATAAAGGTAATATTAAGTTTAACTGCATAGCAGCCGAATAAAAACACAATTCATACGAGTTAAGTTCACGTACTAAATGTACACTTGGGTTCATAAAAAAATTCAAAGTGAAAAATTACGACGCACTATAACCATTTACTTGTTTTTTTTCATAACAATTTTTTACCTTAACAAAGTTGAATCTACAACAGAAGTTAATTAAACAAATCGTATTTCGAAAAAAACACTAACTGAATAATATTAGACTTGTTAACGAGAACTATTCAAAAATTTCACAAAAACAAATTTTGAAACGCATTCAAATTTAGTATAGTAAAATGCAAATTTCAAATCACTTCGGAAATTCTGGTTAGGCGGTGTTTTGTGAAATATTCATGCTCTTACATATACAAATATAAAAGAAAATTATTTTGCGTAAAGCATTGCAAGCATATGAAATGAAAATGAGAAACATCTGTTTTATAGTTCTAGGGTAAACAGTAAGGCACACACCACTAATCAGAGGAAAAGCTCGACCGGAAACCACTAAAGTGGTTATAAATCGCAAAGTAAAATTAAGCAATAGTGGCTCGTAATTCTTCTTGAATTGTTTACTAATTTATATGAGTACAAGTGTATGCACATATCTATATGTAAATTTAATAAATAAATTTATTATCACAATCAGTCAAATTATGCTAAAAATGCATTCGTATGTGTATCTTAAAGACTACCACAAATGAATTCAAGTTTGTTACTCATTTATGGTGACTGGAAGATCATCGATGTTATTTACATCTTCATCAATGTCCATCCTGAGATAAAAATTGTAAGCATTAAATAAATAAAAATGATCAATAAAAACCATAAACTTACTGATTCATCATTTCCGTTGCTTCTTCAATTAATGTTTGCACAGGATATTGGAAGAGATCATTAATGCTGTTCGCCGTGGCACCGTTGCCATTTACTAAAAATGATGAGACTCCATCTTGTGACAGATAGGTACATTGGGCTTTGGTACTTTTAAAAACATCGAATAGTTTTGTATGAAACTCGACTGTGTTTTGAGATAGGGAATTGCGCATTTCACTTAGTTGAGTCAAACTTTTATCGACGATATGCTGTAGTTTTGTGAACTCTTTTTGCACAGATGTTATAGTGGCATAAGCATATTTCAGATGCTCATTATTAACTAACTTTTGCCTTTGGTCTAGACAATCGTACACGGCAGTTTTGCAAACTGACAATCGTTCCTGCCCGTTAATTTTGACTTTCTGCACGGTCTCAAGATGTCGACGAAAATCAATACTAATGCATGAACAATGGGCCAATTTCATTAAAAACTTGATCACCAATTATATAATATTGTATAAAAACTTACAGCTTATATACGTCCTTATTCTTCAGCTCATCAAAGATTGTATTGATCGCCATTTCTTTGGCACGGCGTAATCCGGATTTATAGAATTTGTTCACTTTGGCTTTCAGACCGTCCAAAATTGTGAAATCATCCCTGAATTTCTTTGCTCTTGAGCACCATTCTTCAAAAAAACAGTTACTAGCTTTATTCTGCAAGTTAAATGTATATACATAAAATTTTAAAGAATTCATATATGATTAAGTTAACAAGTTACTTGTATAGGGCATGTTTGCCTTGCTGCTTGGATGTTCATGGAAAACTGGTCAACACGACCGCACATTTCGACAAACTCATTATAATATTGCTGCAACCTGCTCGTTTTATTATCAGTGTCATACTGTAGTATAGCATGTTCCATGGTCAAAGCGTATTCCTTTAAACCGCTGACAAAGGCCTCCAAATAACGTTGTTCACTACTGAGCAGATAGTGTGTGCTTTGTTCGATGAATTTCAATAACCAATCGGGCAACTCATCTTTGGCACTCAGATATTTTTTAATGTAAAATGGAATTTCCGGTGTCGGTGGCTTATAGTCCTCCTGCATTTCCGTAATATATAACATTACAGGATTATTATTCGCATTATGATAATCCTGCCATTCCTCAACGAAAAAATCTATTGGCCTATAGGTATGTGATAAAACTGGCTTTGGGTGGCCAGTTGGGAATATGCAAAATATGTTTTCAATACCGATGTCTCTTTTAATAATGTCGCGGAATTCTAGCAACGTCATGTCAGGAGTGACTTCGAAAGAGTAAAACTGTAAAGTTGGCAAATAAAAAACATTTAAAATCTTCTGGGATAAAATCGAGTCCAGCTCGCTGTAGAATTTAAGTACGCGTTCGTTAGATAACGGTGATGAACGAGTACCGCGCGTATTATAGTTCTTATCTAATGCCGTCATCAGCCATTGCTCAATTCTGCTTAAGAATATTGGACTCATGCGAGTTTCAGCAGGAAATTTTTCATGAAACAAGTATTTCTTTTCAGGAAAATCCGCGGTGATGGCAATGCATTTTTCGTGTTTGCTTCGTATATTTGTTACAATTTCGTATAGAGATTGATGAGGTATAAATGGTAGATTTCCACAAATCAACTCAAAAGCGATTATGCCCAACGACCAATAGTCAACGGTATTTTTATACTCAGCCGTATCTAACACTTCCGGCGCCACATAGTTTCGCGTGCCCACGATGCTTTTCAACATCGTATTTTCTGTGATGGTGCGTGCAAAACCGAAGTCCGTGAGCTAAAAATGACAACAGATTTCTCTAAATTTAGTATTGTTCTTACGGCCTGATAAATATAGGTTATTAATACCTTATAAATTCGTCGACCGTCAACATTGTGTATAACCACATTATCGGGCTTGAGATCTCGGTGTTCGATGCGACATTTAGTATGCAAAAACTCAATGGCATGTCGCAAGGCGTTCAATATTTCACGTACTTCGAATTCTGTCAGGCCATTCGTGTTTTCCACTAACATTAATTGTGAACGCAGATCGCCGCCGTTGCAGTACTCCATTACGATGGGCTGTAGTGGCTGCCATGCATGTCGTTCAGTTAGAAATGCCAAAAACTGCTTATCCACTTTTTTGTTGAGACCACGCACTATATAAGTGGTCTCTAAGTTGGACATCCAATCGCTCTCCTGCTGCCAACGTTGTTTTAGCTTAGCGATTTCATCTTTGCTCAGGTTTGCATTTTCTTTTAAACTTTTAGTTGCTGCAAATAGTATGAAAAATATGCATAAGTATACCTCCGCATATATGCTTGTACCTAAACATCGAGAAATAACATTCAATAGCTTCCACAATGTTTTCAAGAGGCTTCACCTAAGCACAGAACTATTTACATATGTGTAAAGTGTCTTGTCGCCGTTCTTTTGAGAAGTGAGTGTAAAAGACCTTTCACCATCACATAAAAAGAAGTAAAGAAGCGAATCAATCAAAAAACAGGCATGCTCTTTTTTATTTCGGTTGCAGTCGTTTGACATTTTATTATATATTATATTTTATATATTATATATTATATATTATATATTATATATTATATATTATATATTATATATTATATATTATATATTATATATTATATATTATATATTATACATTATATATTATACATTATATATTTTATTTAATATACTATAATTGTCCGCAGTGTTGGTATTTGCTAATATTCTGTAGTAGGTTTCATGAAAAGTCAAACGACTGCAACTGAATACACTTTAAAAACCCAAACATTTGTATGCTCTTATTTTGTGTTTCCTAACGCGTGTAACGCAACAACAAATAGGCACAAGCGGTTTTTTAAAATGTGTTTTATTTTTCTTTAGGGAGTTGAGCAATTTTCATTACAAATTTCAGATTTTTGGAAAATTTGCTACAGGGAATAAATATAAATGTATGTACATATGTATATATTGTTGAAACTTTTATAAGCAAAGTGTCACGCTGTGAGGCACTGAAAAATATTTTTTTGTTTATTAATGTGTAAATAAACAATAAGCGGGAGTTGACATTTTATATACAAATCACATCATACATACATATGTGCATACCATTGTAAAAATACACAAAGGCTCTAACCAATATTTTTTAATGAAATGCCTTTTTTTGCAGTTTTCGTTAGTTGATATTGAGGTACGAGTATACGTCCGCGCAAAAAATTATATTTTTGATGTAAACAAATGAGTTCCATCAAATGCAGCTTCTGTTTTTTTTTAAACACAAACGCCCTAACTACATACAAACTTTTTTGTTCAGCAAGCAACAAACTACGAGATATAATCACGCGATCATCGGATTATCAGGCTGCTTTTACCAAAATCGTATTTGCTTTTCTTTTGTCGAGCAAACATATTTAGTAAAATTCTTATGGAAAGAAACATCAAAAATACACAAAAAATCTTTTAATTTCATTCGAAGAATTTATTCATGGGATACAAAATCTTTTCCAAGTTTCTCATTTGAACGACATAAGGATCAGTCTTTGTATTATATATGTAGATGCCCACTCTACACATTTTTTGAATCGTTATATCACAGAAACGGTGTAAATCAACGCTGCGTCGTAGCGCTAAATTTCACTTTAATCGAAAAGTTATACGGTTTGGTTGAAACACTTGGAAAGTTGGTGTCAATGCAGTTATCACAATAAATATTATTCTGTTTTTACACGAAACGAAATACCGTTGTTAATCTAAAATCCTAAAATCCTGAGCTCACTGTTACCCTGTAAATTTTGTTACCAGCGAAATAGGAGGTAACAAATATATGTGCTGTTTGATTTTCTGTTGTAAGTTTGAGAAAAAATACAAAAACCAAAATAGGTAGGCATAATTTAGGCCTGGAATTCATTGTAGATGAAGAAAAAAGTGCAAAAAGCCGTATTTTAAGAAGTTTTCGAGACTAAAAAATAGCACTTTATTTTGTAAGAAAAAAGCAGTGCTGCCAAATTTTTTTCAAACATTGTAACCAGTTCGCCAGAATACCAAATTCAATTTCGGGTGTTACAGAAAAGTAACAAAATTTACTTTACCGGTAACAGTGAGAATAAGCCTGTTAATGTAGAAAATTGTCAGCTTCTCTTTATTTAATTTTTCAAATATTGGGTTGCCCAAAAAGTAATTGCGGATTTTTTAAAAGAAAGTAAATGCATTTTTAATAAAACTTAGAATGAACTTTAATCAAATATATAATTGCCATTTTGTTTGATAACCTTTTGCCATCTTCCTGGCAAATTTAGTATTCCACGCTCATAGAACTTCTGGCCTTTATCTGCAAAAATCGAACCAAGTGCGATTTTATAGCCTCATCATTGCCGAAAGTTTTACCATTTAAGGAGTTCTGCTAAGATCGAAATAAATGATAGTCTGATGGTGCAAGGTCAGGGCTATATGGTGGATGCATCAAAAGTTCCCAGCCAAGCTCACGCAGTTTTTCGCGAGTGACCGAAGATGTGTGCGGTCTAGCGTTGTCCTGGTGGAATATGACACCTTTAATATTGACCAATTCTGGTCGCTTCTCCTTGATGGCTGTATTCAATTTGTCCAATTGTTGACAGTAAACATCCGAAATAATCGTTTGGTTCCTTGGAAGCAGCTCAAAATATACGACACCCTTCCAATCCCACCAAACAGACAGCATAACCTTCTTTTGGTGGATATCAGCCTTTGAAGTGGTTTGAGCTGGTTCACCATGCTTGGACCATGATCGTTTTCGACTAACGTTGTTGTAAACAATCCATTTTTCATCTCCAGTTATGATTCGTTTTAAAAACGGATCGAATTCATTGCGTTTAAGGTGCATATCACAAGCGTTGATTCGGTGTGTTAAATGAATTTCTTTCAATACATGTGGTACCCAAATATCAAGCTTTTTCACCAGTCCAAGACTTTTTATGTGATAATGAACGGTTGATTTTGGTATATTTAACTTCTCTCCTATCTCACGCTCAGTTACATGACGATCCAATTCGATTAATGCTTTGATTTGGTCATCATCAACTTCATTTGGCCGACCTGAACGTGGCTCATCTTTAAGTGAAAAATCTCCAGAACGGAATTTGCGAAACCAATTTTGACACTGTCTTCCTTTTAAGGCTTCATCACCATACACATCTCGTAACTTTTTAGCAACCTGCTCCGCGTTTTTTCCTTTACGGAAATAATAAAGTAAAATATGACGAAAATGCTCCTTTGTGGGCTCCATATTAAAATTGACGCCAAACAAACAAATGTAAACAAAATTTCGCGCACTTTTTTTCTAAAGCAAGCTAAAAGTAACAGCTGATAACTGACAGAAGAAAGAATGCAATTACAGAGTCACAAGCCGTTGAAAAAATTTGTCAACGCCGACTATATGAAAAATCCGCAATTACTTTTTGGGCAACCCAGTATAATCATTTCTTTTTAAATTGATATTATATTTTTTTTTTTTTGTAAAATTATATTTTTGCAGCAACAACAGAACGTCAAGTCAGAGTGATAGTGGAGATGATGATTTTTAAGCTTTTTGTTTTTAGTATATATATATACGTATGGAAAAAGGAGTATCCGGTAGGTACTCCATGGAGTAATTTTGTGGAGTAGTTTCTAAACTAATCACATGTAAGTACTTCGTGGAGTAATTTTCGGATTAGTTTCAAAACCAATTCCACCTATGTAACCCATGGATTACTCGGATGTCATGCAGAGAGGGATTATATGGTCCTGCTCTAGGACATCGCAATGTAAGTGGGACTACATTTTTTGTATGGATTGTGGTTAACTTTGGATTACTCCTTGGTCTTCATGGAGTATATATTTCACGCATAAAATGAGTAGTCGACGTTTTGTAGGGTATTTCATTTACGCATGTATGTATGTACATATGTGTGTATCTTACAACAGTTAATGTCAAGCTTTGATACAATTTTTGTTTTCTTTACGTCAAAAATATATTTTGTACTTAAAATTTTGTCAAATATTTAGGTTGTGCAAAGAGTTTCAAAATGAAACAGTGAAAAAGTAGTAAAAAATTAGGAATGAAACAGAAAACATGGGCATCGGCTTCGAGAAAATCTGATCCCTAGCCGACTGTACTGCCTACACTTTTGATATTATTTATATGGATATTATTAAGGAAAAAATTTGTTTATTCTTAATCAGATACAACCGACACTACGACCGAAATACTAGTGAAATCTATTTCGAAGCGCATTAATGTGAATGTGAACGTTATTGATTTCCGAGAAAAACGTTATTTGCTATCCCTTTTCAAAAAAAAAAGTAATAATTTAAAACTTTTATCAGAGATCATAAATATCAACAGCTTAGCAAGAGAGAGATCGATCACAACCCTACTATATACGATACGAACACTCAATTATAAACATACATATGTATGTGTATGGGTATGGAAATCTGCATTTATTTGCTTCAATATACATACATATATATGTATATATATGTCTATTGAAGATTTAGCTGCAGACTCACTATTCCCACAAAACATAAGGAATGTTTGTTCGCCACTGAGCGATAGAACTATTTTGGTCAGTTTGGCCAGTAGCCAAAACGTTCATGCTGCACGATTCAAAGCAATTTAATAAAAACTAAATGAGCCCATAAATATGTATGTACAGCCATTCAAAAAGTTTAAAAAATATATATATATAAGAATTTTAAGATTGCACGTTTGTTATAATAACAATATTTTTTGCACATGCATTTTACACTTATGAATGTATTTAAAATATCTTCAAAAGCACGCATTGCTCAGTGATGATACCCCTCTGAAAGTGTTCTCCTCAAACACCCAGCTGTAGCAACAAATTCGCGGAATTGATACGCTGACTAATGCAGTCGCTTTTTTGCTTTAAATGTAGTATTCGTCCACTGATGATAAATATATATAAATAAATATGTTCATATACACTTATGCACAAATCAGTAGGAACATTTTTTAAGTAAATATATATGCAGGTACCACGAATTTATTGCAACGGCTTGAATACGTTATCATTTACTACTTTCTAAATGCTTTTAATTAAATAAAAAAAAATTATTTAACCCTATGTGAGAAATTCAAGAACTATAAGGAATCAAATTCGGTTGCTATATATCAACATCAGGTCTATAAATAGGCTTATCGGAAGTTCTCGAAATTTGTTTTAGCTATAGTGCATATGAATATCACATGCACACGTCTACATATATACGTATATATTTACGTGTATATTGTATTAATGCTGATGAGACCCTGTGGTGATAATTGATGTACAAAAATAGATCTTTTCGTCGGATTTGTAAAATTATAATAGAAGTCCACTTTCACACATACCAATATTTTGGCCAGTTTCTACATTCTGCCATAGGTGAACATCACCAAATCCGCCTAAGCCCAATTGTCGCTTCAATTGCCAGGTTCCAAATGTTACGGAAGAATTATTCATTTTAGAGACCACGCGAATACTTTTTGTGTTACTTTATATAAATCTACATTAAACACGAAACACTAAAAAATGCTAAACTTAAGCGGATCATTAATCTCCGCGAGGATTTGATTCCACAAGTAATCGCAAAATAATAACAAACTCCAGTTAATCACAAAGAAGAACAAATTGCCTGAACCTTCTCGTTGTATTTACATTCTCTGTGAGAAACGTCAAAATGCGAGAGTGGAAGCAAAACGAAAAGAAAATATGCCAATGCGTTGGTGCTGCCAGCAGAGAACGTAAATATAACGAGAAGGTTCAATTGCGGACCAGCGTGTAAACTGTCAAAAGCTGCCAAGTTACGATGGGTGCATTTCACCACAGGCCGCCAGAAACTAATAGAGTTTGCTATTGATGCATAACATTACTGAGCGTGGCAAAATTAAATATGCTCAGAAATCGGGTGGTCTGTCTGCAACTAACATTGCTTATGTTAACTTTAGACAACGAAGTTTTTGTAGGCTTTTTATCAAAATAAACGAAAATATTATTCTCAAATTATTAATATATTTTTTGGAATGGGGGTGAAAGGATTTATTTCATTAATGTATTGTACATCTTTTTCAAATTTCTGTATTATCTAATAGTGAAGAATTTCCTTATGAAGGGACGATTTGCCGTCGGCATTTCGCAATAGCGTATTTTATAAGGAGGATTTTTTGATCTGAATTTTAATTTAATTGTAACTTTAACATATTAATGAGTTGTATGTATGTATGTACATATGTATGTACAAGTATTCTTACACGCATAGGCAAAAACATACAAACGCATTGCTTATGTGAAAACATACTTCCCTCTAAATGCTTCTCTCGCCCAAAAGCTGAAATCAAATACAACAATAACATTTTCATTCATAGACGCCTGCGCCCTACAACAAAGCATATTGCGTCCATTCATAAACACCACCGCGCATGCCCTACCAACAAGTTGCTTCTTCACGACAGTGTGAAAAAGCACAAACACCAAAAATCATTATGGTCGCGAAAAGTAAAGCAATAACAACATACATACAAAGCATGCCCTACTCCTTCAACCCGTAACGTTCATGTGTCGTCCACAAGCATTGCTTTTAATTCTTGCCACTGACAAAAATTCTATTATCGTCTGCAGAACTGAAGCAAATAGGCATCGTGCTACTAAATTTGCTGTTCGCCTGTTAGCTCATATTGCCCAGCAAGCAACTTCCTTGCCTTCCCGCATGCACCTTGTCCAACAAGTTAAATTGTGGCAAGGATTTAATAATATTCTAAAAGTTCTAGAAAATTCTAGAGCCTTCTGGAATGTTCGATTTCAATGAAGACGAGTAAACCCTCTTTCCTTCGACTCTTCATCAACAAACAGTTTCCTCAAGTCGAAGTCAAATTTTAGCAAAAATCGAAAAATTGATGTTAAACTCACGCAAAGTGAAAACCCATACATACAAGCAATTTAATATGTATACGCAAAACGCACACAATCTTAATAATGCCCGAGCCCTTGCTCTTATACCCCGCCATCCACAAGCGATTTCTTCGCGACGATCACAAAATTTTGCTAGATTTCATATTTTTGGCATTTTGGTGTACGAATTCAGGTACAGTAAACTTTGTATACCACGAATATATCAGTCGCTAGTCAACAGCTATAGGAGTGATTCGTATATAACTTCATATATTTGAAATTTGAATTGAAATCTTTAATTTTCCTAAGTTAATTAACTTTTTCAAATAATAATCCTATATTTTTCATAATAAAAATATGCATTAATTTAATAATCGAAGAATTTTGTAAGTTATAGGAGTCATTTGTATATGGTTAATTGATTCCTGATAGATTTTAAGTTTATATCAAATTTTGAATTTTCTTGAAGTAGTAAGCATAAATTAAATACAAAAAATCATGTTTAAAGTTAATTTGTGATTAACTAGAGTTTGTTCAGAGAATGTTTAATAACGAGAAGGACCAGCGCGTGCCGATTGTCATTTTGTTCCGCTTTGCAGTCGACGCCAGTTTTCTATGAGTGCATTTCACCCCAGATATCGATGAGCCCTGTTCACCACAATTTAACAGAGAACTAGCAGAATTGTACTCAACATAGTAGAAATAGTAAAATAAAGAGAATTTCCATGCAAAATAAATGTAAAACTGATAAAAACCTATTCAAGATAAATGTAAACATGCATACATGTATTATCAGAAACTTCTGATTTCAATTTCTGTTTATTTGCTTATATTAATTTGCAAATTTACGAATTTTTGTAATCTACTATTTTATTTTTATTTACTTACATATTTCTAATTTTTCTAATAATTTTTTTAAAATAAAATTATTGGTAGTCATTATAATTGAAATATAACAAAACAAATTTAATTTAATTCTTTCATATATTATTCATTTTTGGCGTAAATATCGAAATAAGTAAACAAGTCAATATTCATTCATTCATTTAAACGTATGTATGAGCGTATGTACATATGTTTGCTTATGCGTATTAATAAGAAGCAAAACGTACACATTTAGCAAAAAAAATCCATTCCATCACCATGACAACACTATTTTAATAGCAAAAAAGTCCTTCTCGATACGAACGCTAGCGCATCGTCTACCAGAGAACTTATTTTAAGTTCTCTGTACACGTACATAATGGTCATTGTGACCGTAGCAAAAACCTTACTTCGCAATGCTTTGCGGCTCATTTGCTCGCCACAATTTTCAAGTAAATTTTACGAATCAAAAATTAGCTTAAATTGTACAGAAAGTTAAAAATTTATTCTAATTCTATACCTTCAAAATTCCTATCTTCCAATTGCTCAATGCAGTCTGCGACCACGACATTTTCATTCAACGAACACATACGTACATACACGTACCTTATTGAATGATATCAATATTTTATTAAAAATAATACTATTACGTTTGATCCCTTCTCTCGTTAGTACATCATTCATATGAATTAATTAACTTTATATTCTGAAGCCTCACTGGTAAGGTCCAATCAGTTTGTTGGCGGCGGGCTTTAGTCTCCCACACTATACGCTCGAAATGACTGTAATATTAAGGAAGCCTCATTCCACAAATACGACCAGCCTCAATCCATTTGGGGATGTTTAGTTGTGGAGTCTGAATTTTTTGACAGTTGTGCCGAAGACACCATCTTTGCTCAACGAGAAGTTTAAGTCGCCAAGCACGACTTTCACATTGTGGTGGGGGCGACGCTCATGGGCACGCTCCAAGAAAAAAGATATTCTTGGTTACCTCGTCCTTCTCTACCATCAGGATAGTGGCGGGGTGAATGCCGGTACTCGATGACGGAGTCTACCTCGCACCGCGAAACCTACATCAAATGACTGCTATATTAAATGTCACAAGGACCTACACGTTTACCTCCTTATCCTGTTCATTGCACTTCTTAGACGGCGCTGATGAAGCTTACAACCTCTTTATGATCACTTTGGTATCTAGAAATATCGAACCAAACCCAAAGTCAGACCGACACCATTTTATAAATAGCCCAAGACAGATGTGTTTATGTGTAAGTCACTTTATATAATTGAATTCTCAATATTAAAAACTATCATATACAAACATATTATTTTTATATCACATACTTTCGTTATTTCTATTACGTACATATGTTAATTTCATTAATCATTAATACTCGCATTTATACTCACGAAAATGCACGTGTACTTTACATACAGATACATACAAAGTAATCAAATTACGTACTTTTTGAAATTTTAGCACTTTCGTAAAAAAGAAGCAAATCATAAATAAATCATAAATGCTCAGTTTAAAAATCTATCATATTTACAGAGGAAACAGCTCATTGTAGGTGAAGCTATCGAGGATCTTACTAGCCACATTGCTGAATTTCTTTTCCAGAGCGCGTTCGATGGGTTGAATCACCTCATTGGTGAAAAGTTCAAAGTTTTGATTGATTGTCTCGTTAATGATGTCCCCCAGCGTCTTATCGTTGCCAAATAGATTCTGTAAGTGGATATTACCGCTGCCGGTGCGAATTTTCACAGCTAAATCTTTGAGGCCAATCATTTCGACATCATTGACAGTTGTCACATCAAACACAACTTTCACGTAAGCATAAAAATTGGCTAAAAAAATAAAAAATAAATTTGACATAATACTCCCATTGTAATTAGTAATTAGTTACTAATAATATTAATTAACAAGTGCCAATTAAGTCATACAAATTCATTCATAACTTACTAAAGTTTCCAGTGAAGGGCCCATTTCCACGCAACATTAAACCCAGCAATTGCCCGTTGATATTGTAGTTGCCTTCGCCATGCAAATACGGCAAAATCAACTCGAAATCGAAACGTTTCGCGTCGTCAGATGCCCTGAAATATTGAACACCATACAGTAAAATTGGATAGTTCGAGAGGCATTATTTTATAACAACTTTAAATTAATCAAGACTTCAAGCACCTGATTTTCCTGATTTCGAAATTTGACGAACCCCAAACCTTAAGTTGTTTCACTTTAACGCTTATGCCATTGGCACCACCCTCCAATATGTTCAAATCACCAATATAAAGTGGCTCCATGGCGGGTACATTTAACTCCGTTATGCCGTCAGCGAGATGTGGTCGTATAGAATGTACTGTTTCCTTGACACAATCGGCTATCTTCGGATCACTTCGATGGCATATTTTTATGTAGTCAGCTGTTGAGGGGCAGAAAATGTGTTAAAAATACGTGTATATTTAAATTGTTTGGGAAAAGTTCTTACGCATTTTTGCCGCAAATAAAGGGCAAACTGTTGCTGCAATAGTGGCAAAAGTCAATAGTAAGACTTTCAGTTCCATTGTTGAGATTTATTTATGACCTGAAAAGAAATGCTTTGTATAAATATTGTTTACAATTTTATGTTCTTTGCACACTCATACATATGTACGAATACTGAGCGGAAAGCTTAAACAAATTGAATCTGCAGATATAAATTTTTATTATTCGTTGCTGACTAATTTTGACCGACATTTTCCACTGAACGGAACTAATAGTAATACCAAAATTAAAGATATTAGAAATATTTTTAATTTCATTTTGATATTTTCATAATTTAAATAATTTAAAATAATAAATATTTGCTTTACACAAAATTTGATGCCTCTTAAAGTCTATGAAATGAAATAATACATATTCAATACAAATTAATTTATTCAATTCAATAATTTGTTAATTTATTTAAGGATTATATTTATATATATAGATATATGAATATAGATATATATACATATATTTATATACATAATTGGCGCTTTGTACCCGCTGGAATAGTTTTCGGCGAAGAAAAGGAAAGTCCTACAATTTTTTCTGAGCCACTTTCGCACAACTGATGGTTCTTAATGGAGAGCTTTTGGTTTTATGTCAGAAACACACTTATAGGGGATGAAAAATTATTATTTTTAAATTAATTTTTCATAATTTCAGATATTGATCTGCTCGTAATTCGAATCCATGGCCCTCCGCAGGATAATATGTACCGCTAATCACTCGGGTGAATAGAATTGAAATCGAAACAGCTTGAACTATGTTTCCCTGTATACATATATTCAAAAGCTAAAATTTTTTTAAATGTGAAAAGGTAAAACAAAAAATTATAGTTTTAAAAAGGCCCGCAAGGTTCATAGTCCTTAAACTTTTTATAACTTTTGTTTACACAGTAAGAAATAGTTTGAAATTATTCTCTTATGCTCTTATCCTTGTGTGACTGCAATGCAATGTCTTGACATTTTTTGTTCTTCAAATTTGGCCTTAATTGGATTTTTAAATACTATCAAAATGCAATTGTTTTTTTGCAAATATTTACTATGTAAATATTATGAACTCAGTTTTTCTATTTGTTTTCATAAATGCCACAAAAATTGAAAGAACTTGAACACTTTTGTTATCCTGCTGCTTCACTCACTTTTAAAAAGTTAAATTTTTTTATCTGTTTTGTGTAGTTAAACTTGATCTTCTCGCTATCGTGTTCTTTTTGGTAAACTTAGCAGAAATAAATTTAGAAGTTTGTACAAGGCCGAAAACGCGACAGAGCTAAGTATATACAGCCCACAGCGAGCGCGAGCTTAATTTGAGAAGAACAACGCGTCTTTAAGAACACAGCAACGAACTGAAACGCAACAAATCTGTGATTTTGCACTTTTATAGAAGTTCTAAGCGCGTCACGGTGGGGCTGGCTGCGCGCACGTCGGCCACACCATCATTTGGCGTGGAGCAGTTTCACAGAGCACACACGCACACAGGCAGGTAGAGACGTGCATACAGGTGAGTGCATGTAAATGCACACATATGTACATATATAAGAGTACATACATACATCATTACAGATCTACACAAGCAAATAGTTTTTCGTGCATATTTAATAGCAACAGAGAGCGAATTGCTAATATTGATGTCGTTGACTGGAGGTGAGGAGGCGCGCGCATGTTGTAGCCGAAATCAATGTTACATATATTTATATTTATAAAAAGAGATAACAAAAAAAAACAAACGCAATATACTCATATACACATACATACTTACATATGTATGTATAACAAAACAAATTTCGGTACTCATTTACACTTACACATAGGAAACCGCTATGTACGAGCATGTATTGCAGTTGACCAAAAATCTATGGAGCCTCTGAAATTATATAATTATATGAAACGCTCGCGAAACCGATTCGTACGATGCTTCAGTGCATTCGTTGCATACGCACGCATACATATACATACATAAGTCATATGGGTAGACAAATTAGTTTGCATGGGCCATATTATGGCGTTTTGGACAGTTTTAGCGGAAGCTGTGTGAGTCGATCGCTCCCCACCCACTCTGTGATTAAATAAACAATTTCAAACGCAGTTTCGGTATGGTGTTGGAACAGAAATTAAATCGATACACATACAAACTCATACTTCAACAAATCTGCAATAAGTGATAAACGAGATTCTATTTATATAAAGCCCAACTAATTTTGGGGAAATAAGGTGTTACTTAAATTTGTTTGTTGATCTTACAGCTTTTCAACCGACGTCAAAGAAGGTTCTCAATTCATCGCGTCCTTTTCTTATCTATGACCACCACAACTTTTTACAGAGTGGTCCCATTTTGATGATTTTTATTTTTTATGGGAACGCGTATAGCTTGTAATTAGTGCCATCAGCAGTTTAGGGCGATGATTTATTGTTTGTAACGTGTAATCCCGCATATCCCGACGCCACGTAGTCCGATTTCGATAAAAAGGTTGGAAGATAAAATTTCAACCAGGAGGGAAGAAACCAAAATAATGAAATTACACTAACATTTGCTAAAGAATTTGTTTAATAAGATTAAATACAAAATTTAATACTTCTTGCGTTTTGTTTCCATCATTTTGGAAGGTTATTATTTATTAATCACAATTTCATTTATGATCATTATTTTTGCACAACCGTACATTGTTTTATAATACAATTTAGCTATTAATGTAATCCCTTGGAATTTATTTAAGTGCAAGCCTTTCAATCAGTAAACGAATCTACATTTATACTCATAGACCATCAATGAACTGGAATGTAATCTTAAATGTGTATACTGCAAATACCTCTCCGCTCCAGCTCTTTTAACTGCAATCAAATATGTCGCAAATAATTACGTTAGCTTGTTAGGTCTTTACTTAGTTTCGTAAAATTTGAGTTCCATGCGCATGACAGGCTCAAGTTAAAACTGAGCTGGATAGTTAAAGTCAGATTTCATTAATTAACGTGTCGCACGGGACACTGTACCCAGCGGACAGATTTCGCGGGATACAAACATTTTGACGTATGATGATGTCCATCAAATCTGAAAGGAGCACTTAACCCGGAACCGTAGTATTTTTAATATTTTGGGCCCATTTCAACTCAAATTTAATTTTAATTATTGCCAGACGATGCATGACAATGCTTTATTCCTGCTTTTCTATTCTGAGAAAAAGCCATACATTTTAAGAATAAAAAAAACGGCTGCTATAATATCATATTTAGGTTTGTTAGTTTCCTGCCCCCAACTCATAGTCGATATTTTGACAGGGAATACCATCTAATTAAACATCCAAAACATTTATGTAGCTCAATGTGATAGAAGACGTCTACACAAACGATAATGGAAAATCTCATTTATTTATTTAACACTTTATTAATATAAACTATAAAAAATACTATTAGTCTATTGCCCTTTTTCAGAATGTCATTGTTTTATGCAATGATATAATTTACATGTCAGCTACGTTCAATATTTATGCCGTAACTACCCGAGAATCGATGAATAAGTACTTAGTGCCGCGCACGATGACCGTTATTAGTATTTACTTGTCAACGCTTGTCATGTTTAAAATTACAATTTGCAACTACTGCGACGTAACTACATATATGTATACGTACTGAAGTGTACATGAAGTATTGTAGCATTTTTATACCTTAATGCACATGAAGGGTTATATTAATTTTGGTCCGAAGTTAGATCAAAATGACCAGCTAAGTTGATTTAGCCAGGCCCGTCTGTCTGTCTGGTCCCTCAGTTAGAGGACTGCTATGGCCGATAAACAACCGAAATTTGGCAATCTACTTACGAATATATAAGTAAACATGGACACCGAAAATCATCGAAATCGGAAGATAATATCATATAGCCTCCATACAACCGATTTGTATAGTTATGGGGTTTTGAGTCAATAAATCTGTCAAGAAAGCATCTAAGCGTATTACATATACATCGCCATCGAAAATCATCGAAATCGGATGTTTATAATATAATATACACGTATAGTCTTCATACAAACGGTTTCTTCAGATATGAGACTGTGGTCAAAATACTGTTAAAAGAGCAGATGAAAGCGTGAGATTTGACATTTTATATTCATTTATATAAAAATATCAATATTTTTTTTTTAATAACACTAATACGCGTATGTGAAAAATGCAAATAGTCATCGAAAACCGTCAAAATCGAACTTTTCAATTTGCAATACATTCCATAAGCTCATGAAAGGTATAAAGGCTTCGGTACAGCCGTAGTCAGCACTTCTTTTTTGTTGCTTTTTGGGAATGGTGTATCAAATGAAAACCCACCCAGGGTCCACATAACGCTGAGACCGGCATACACGTATGTTGATTTAGTTTGAATCATCTTTCTTTAAGCAGCTTTTTTATTTTACACGATCAATTTGTTTTCCATTTATTTTAATAATAAATATTCGCAGAATATATTTGTTTTCGGGCTAAAATATGCGCGCACTGGAGTGATTGAAGTAATTACATGCTTTTTCAATTTATTAATTTTTAGTTGTGTGGTCCCTTCATTTTCATTAACTTACATTCATGTTCGTGTGCTCAATTGCTGCATTCCCAGCCTCATCAACTCGGCGATATTTCAACGGGTTTTGTGTGTGCGTGTGAGAGAATGGTTGTGAAATGAAGCTCGTTTTTGCTACACCCGACACCGCCTTCGAGTTATTTTAAGTTAATATGACAACCTACAAATACTCAAACTTATGTATAAATATGTTATGTATCTAGTTACGGCGTTTATTCATTAAGTTTATTGTTTAGACGAATTTTAATTTGCGTTGACAGTTGTTGGCGAAATTAGGGTTATTTATGATTTGATCACACATGCAACTGCATAAATAAATAATTACTTTGTTTGGTACATAAATGTACTTACCGCCAGTTCTATATTATATCTGTATATGTATATAAAATACATACACACATGCTTGGATGCACCGAAACATTTTGATCTCTTTTTAATTATTTACGCTGGAATTTTGCGGATTTATTTCGAAAACTTCAACTATAAATATGTGGTTGAATGTACGATAGATCGGTAACTACCGGTGATTTACTTTGAATAACTTACAATTTCATAATATTTTTGAAAGAGCTAAAAAATCGATATCCATTTTTCCACCATTTAATCATGATTTCTTGAAAAATGGTTTTTGCCGCAAACAATTTTACAGTTAATAACCATTTTTACCTGCTTCCCAATAATTGATCAACAATATACCTGCGGTTATTGCATCTATTTTTATGTATATTAATTTTATTAGAAGAATTATAATAGTAGTTTTCTTATAATCATACTTGTACCGTACGATGTTCATATGTATGTACTCGTAATTATATGTATGTACAAAGCAATTTTCCATTCATTGAATTTATTTTGTCGAATAGTTATTATTTAAGAATTATGTGTTTATCTATTTATATCTTAAACAATTAACGCAAGTAAATACTAGTACTGAGTAATCGCTAAATAAACGTTAAATTACCGCTAAACTAATTAACTGGTAAGTGTTAATTTTATATAATATGCGCCAGACCTCTACCCTAACTTCACCACTAATTCAAGTTAATCCACAGATCCAACGGTATTTTCGCGAAAATTCTATCCATGAAATTGCGTATGACTTGCGTAAGTTTGGTCCGTAGCGCCGGCTTCATTTCCTTCAACAACTCCTGCGCGTTGGAATTGATAAAGAGATTCAGGGCAGCCTCTGTAAAGGGAAGTAATTTAAAAAGTATTTATTTTCAGAATCCTTACAAAAGTGCTTGGGGGAAATAGAGAATTTATAAAATGTCTATTAAATATGGCCAAGGAGCGCAGAAATGAATGAATGCTTGTTTCTCGACTGTTCGATTTTCTCCCTTCATCGCCTTTACGGATTTTTTACGAGTATATCAACATTTGTATTTATTTAATGAATCTGCTTAGACATCGGAAGCCTCAAAATATGAAGTTGCCCAGTTGCCCACTTTTGCTCCTTTCAAAGGTAATAAATACGTCTTCTATAGCCGCGTTTGACTTGCTGCGGAGGAGAAGGTGTTGACCAAGTGATAAGGTTCGTACGTAGTTGCTTGCGTCTAAACACAGATCAGCAGATTATTAAACAGGGTGCAAATGAAAACCAATATTAAGTTGAAATAATTCTGTCTTTTGTCTTTGTTTTGAGCCAGTTTGCCTACAAGTGGTGATTTCATTATTCATCAGCAAATAGGAGTGCTCAGTATAACTAATGTATTATATTACATATATACTTCTTTAGTCGTCACTTCTCAGGATATTTGTAAACTGAGGTATTAGAATCTATCCTTAGGTATTTAACTGTTGCTTATTAGTAAGGGTGGCTTGAGAGCTGGTAGTTTATATCTTCAGGTACACAATATCAGTTCGGTATTTGCATCTTTCACCTCTAGACCTCCAAGTTTTAGATAACAAACTTTTCGTTGCAACGATGAATGGGTTTTCCTTAACACAGTCAACCATTTTTGCCCTTACTCGGAAGCCCAGACATTAAACGAAAGAATCTGTTTTTTTTTTAAACTTCGCCAATACTCACGTATCACTGTATTGCCGTTGGCAATGTTATCAACGCCCATTTTGATTTCTTTCACATTGAAATCCATTTTAACCTGATCGGCTGTTAAATACGTGCGTCCATCTTCAGCCAAATTGGGAATGGCTTTGAAGTATATTTTCGCTTTGACTCCATCTAAATAAACATTAAAGATAATTAATTAATATTGTGAAAATAGAGGAAATTATAAAAATATGGATATATGATTATGGTATGCTGGAATGAAATCAAGTGTTGCTTACCATATTCGCCCCAATAGTCACCAGCACCCGAGGCTTTCACCAAGATCAAAACTCCGGTCGAACGATATTGCGAGCGCACTTTGATGTGCGGAATTTCACAAGTCAATTGGAATTGTAAGGTCTCCAAATCGGAACTGTAATCGAAAAGAGGGTTGCATATGAAATATAAATCTTAAATACAGCGGAAAAGAGCCGACAACTAATTAATCTGTCTAACAAAAATCAAAATTTTCCGAAAACGCTTCAAAAATTAGCAGCAATTATACGGGATTATGAATTTTGCGGTTTCAATGATAAACCTAAGCAAAATGTTTTTCAAATAATTTATTCCAGGAAATTATTTTTTTATTATAAAACCATGATACCAGAAAAATGGAAGCTTCACTCAGATTTTTTTTTAAATATGAACCATTTGACATGAAAAGGTTTTTTGACTTTTGCTTTATTTCTGTGTTGCATTGTGAATGGCCAGCTGGCTTCAGTGCTTCCGCGAGCTGGATTTCAAAGGGATATAGGTGTAGGTGTAAGTTCAAGTGTAAAATACACCATAATGTGCTGTAGGGAGGTCCTAGCTCTTAAGAACGTCGAGAAATAAACTCTTTTGAGCTTTCGGCTACACTTTTACTTATAGAAACGATATTAACGGAAGAACGAGCAAAACGATGTAGTTGGACGATTTTGATCATACGTATGTCCACAATTCCTTTTTAAAGCAGTAAACGTGGTCATGTTAGAATCGCCATTTTTGGAGTAGGTTTTAGCAATTTTACCGACTTGTGATCAATCATAAATTCCGGAACATTAACAATAACAAAACATGTTCGGTTTGCAAGTTCAGCTTGTCAGATGCCAGAATATAACCCTGTACTTTTGAAACCACGAAATGGATAACCCTATATTTACATTTTGCATGATGTTTAGAACTGAAATCAAAGCAAAACCTTATCATGTTATAATCTATTCTCAGAGCAACAAAAATACATATATACATATGTATATTCGTCCAGCTATTGCGAGAGGAAATGTGCCCATAGCGCCATGACCTAAGTAATATTAATTTGGCCTAGTGCATGTACGATGTTCATATCAATTTGCTGTGACATTACAATGTACATATGGACAGACTTACACACATATGCATATGCATACATCCAAACAATTGAGAAGACATTGGCCAAATTCGTCGATGTTGTACTCTTCACCTTGATACAAATTGGCAAGCAAACCGACTAAGTGTCTGTGTGTATATGCATTCAACTAATGTTTACACACACTCGTACTTGTAGCAACCCAGCAATAAGAAAAAACTGCCAACTAGATTTTACAATGAATGCCCCGCGAGGTGGTAATTGTTAGACTTCGCTGAGTTTAAATTAATCTAATGGTGTGAACATGAACTGATACTTCGAATTAAAAGACAAAAATTTTTAACGACTGTTCACTAAAGAGATATTTTAAAATGAATTTAATGAATATAATTACTTTTTTAGTACATACAATTTTCTCTCACTAATACACTCCCACTTTTTACGCTCACACTGATAAATACTTAAATACTCAGGACATTTATTTCCCGGATATATACCAGCTTTTTGCTAAGATTTATGTTATTGCCGTTTCGCAGTCGCTGAGATGATTTCCGGCCTAAATTAATACCTGGAATACCTTGGTTCTAGATGAAGATCACTGACAAGACGCAAGCGGGAAGACCCTTAGAAACAAAAAAGCGACTATACCTAATACGGATATATATATAATTGGCGCTTTGTAACCGCTGAAGCGATTTTTCTGCCGAGTACGTGGGATATAACTCAGCCGCTGTATTATTTGAGGGCCTCAATTTGAGCGCTATTGTGCGTATACATATATAGCTAGATCAATAATATAATGGTAAATTTCCCTATATATAAATTTAACAAAATACATAAAGCCGCAGCAACTTAATTTATAAATAATTAATAAGAAAGTGTATATTTAGGCCAATATATCTGTTTAAAATAAAAGTATTGAGTATTGTTATTATTGAAACAAAGAAATATATACAAAAACTAAAACATTCTTACAAATATTTCTAACAATAAAATATTTAAGTTAACAGAACAAAAAGTTGTGAGTAAATATTTTATTTATTTATTTCTTAATTCTTATTTTAAGGAGTTACCAGGAAATTCTAGAAGTTCACTAGTACTTTTTCTGTAAAGTTTCAATTTTCACCGCCTTGTTATGCTCACTTTTTCACATACACATTATATACATATTTTCGTGCAAATGTGTATGTATGTATGTATGTATGTGCACAAGAGTATTTAGTCAAGTAACCGCAGAGGCGAAAAAACGGTTGCATGCAACATCGCAACACATCGCACCAAAAAGTGTTAAACAAATGACAAATTAGCAAAATTTCTCAATTGGCCGCAGTCGACGATGAAGCCAAAGGCGTAAACGAGTTAAATACTTGACGCTTCTAACCTTGAAGGCAGCAACGACTTTGGTGGAACTGTTGTGTTCGCTGGCATTGTCGATTTTTCAGTAGTTACTGTGCATACTTGCAGATGTACTTAAAAACAAGTATTTTTTTTAGCTTTAATATTTTGATTTCAGCCTTTCCTTTTTTCAAAGTCCACACGAAGTGGTAATCAGTAGCCATGTCGATGCAGTGTCTTGAGTCTCTATGCGCTTCTTCACAATCATTCATATTCATATCTAAAGGCTTTTAGAGTGCTGTTTGCATGAAATGGTTTTGGGTACAAATGAAAACAAATTGTTAGAAGTTTAGGAAGTGGAATTGTTCTGCATTTGTGTAAAAGAGATTTTGATCGATTCTACTCCAGATACTCCAGAGTTTCTTTAAGATTTAGAGTGCTTTGTAGAGCGAATATTCCTTTAACTCATGTGACATCAAACCGGCTTTCTTTCATTATTTGTTTTACATCAACATTTTATTATTAATTGTTTAAAAAAATGTTACCACTCGTACAAAGTTTGGTGAAAGCTTGGACTGCGAATGGAAAATATTTGCATCCATTACTTCGGAGTTGGTTTGTTTCATTTCAACTATTTATGTGGTTTTGTCTGTGAAATTAGATAGGTTACGTATACGCACTGTTGTACTAATATACATTTGAGTTTTTATGAATCCCTACAAAAAATTTTCAGACATATTCAATGTTTCAAATAAAGACTCATATATCCACGCGACTGTTAAGCAACGGACACCCTAGTAAACAGACGTACGCATAAACGTTCCTTATTACATGTACTATTAACTGCTCTCGCATGCCAACATACACGTATTATATATAAATGTACTCGTTTGCGCTCACAAATCACTTTTATGTCTAATTTGCAACACGCGACGGTCGTTAATGCCAGCAGCAGCTACGGTATGGAGTGGATTATATGGAAAAATTTGGCCGCGGCGCTACAGTTTGCAATGGCGTATGATAAACATTGCATACACTTACACACATATGAATGTACAAACAGCACATAAATACATAAATACCGTCATACCAGTTTCTATGATGTTTTGGCAAGTGCCACACCGATGATGGGACTGCGACAAATTGAAATAGCGTAAGTCCATTTTACTCATATATGGACTCAAATTAAACAAATTTTATTATCTAGCTCGGTTAATCTAGACATTTTCAATAATCAAAACTTCCACCATAAAATTCCGTAGAATGTCTATATATATATATAGAGAGAGAGAGAGAGGTTAGTAGTGAAGTTACCTTATTTCTTAAACCAGATAAAAATCCCCGTTACTTAGATTCCACCATCTGCAATCGACATTTGCGGTAAAGGTCGTAAAGAGCGAAAGAACAATAACAAACAACACGTGCAAGATCCAGATGCTTGTCATAATTTTGCAAAATAAAATTGTTAGTTTAATAAAGTCATACAATAATGTATGTACGAGTATACATATATGTGTGTACATATGTATATTTTTATAAATAGTCAATAAGTGTTGACGCCATTTACTAAACTCGTTATGTGGTCAATAACATCGGTAAGTGTGACAAGATATAAATACTTGCATATGTATGTATACAAGTATATATGTATGAATATTGAACTTAGCTGTATTAGTTATTTATGTATGCATGTATATTGTGTATTGAGCTTAGCTGTATTGATTATATTCGTTTGTTAATATTTATAAGTATTTTAGTCAATTTATTCATAGGAAATCCATCGTTAAAAAAAGCTCATTTTTGGTTTTTGCCAAAATGAAGTACATGGAAGGTATTATGAATCCTCTTAAGGACTTTGGTGAGTTAAATCTTTCACTAATAATTTGACTAATTGCTGTCACATCGACATTGATGTCTTGGTCTTAACAACTGCGCTTTACTTGATAAGAAAGCGAAGCGAATGGTTAATCAAATCAGCAAATCAGCAAACAAACAGTCGGCGCATTTTCGGCTTGGTTCCCAATGTTACAATCAAAATCCTGCGCAGAATCACTCTTACCAACAGATGCTACTTTGGACTGAGTAAGCAGTTGGACTGAGTACAGTCCTCTCTCTACGCACAAAGTCGCTCAAAATTTTCAACTCTGAGATTTTCAATGCAGTACTCATCTATGGAAGCAGAGGAAGGGCAAGGCCTCCTCCACTCCCTTGAAAATACCAGGTGAGGAAGGAATTTTCTTCACTATGAAATCAGTTTCCGTACGTTTATTAATTAAGCGGAGATGAAGTAGATTAAATAACAGGAACACAACAATTTATTTCATTCATGGAGTAAATTCATATGCATTTTTTAATATCATTCATTGTAATTTCGTAAGATTTTTTCTATGGTGCTATGTAAGACTTGGATGAAAACACTTTCGGGAAGTTATATATTTGGTTCAATTTGATTGAAATTCGTTACATAAATGGCTTTTTGCGGGAAGTCGATACATCTATTTGAAAAAATAATAATATTCATGGCTTGTATTAGTTAAATTTTTGCAAGACATGCCTAAATGGAATATTTTTGTTTTCTGGAATATTTTTTTTTTCTGGAACCAGTGCCGCCGACGGATTGACGTATGTACTCTTCGCATTGTTATTATTCTGCAGCTGCCAGTTCAAAGCTTGAGTGTGAATAAGCATAAATACGAATAGTGCGTTTGGCTCACTCCGATGTATTCGTATTGACATTTTCGTGAAAGAAATGGCACACACAGAGAAACAAGTATATAATATAATAAAAAACTTAATATTTTGATTTAGATGATGCTTAATTAGGGTTTTTGTCATTCTTTGCAATACCAATTATAATAAAATTTGGACAAAGTACACGAAGCCACAAAAACGAGGGGCTTCGAGTCCACTAGTTCTTTATAAGCAAGCTCTCACACTTTTTAATAATGTTTTTGATGAAAATGTAGCTTGGATTAAGAAAATTGGAAAACCAAAGAGATTCATTAAACCTGATAATGGAGGTAAACTTGGCAAGTTCAAACGAAGTGGGTTTCTGTCAGTTAATTTTCTGACGGGCAGTTCTTTTGGTAAACGAGTTGTTTATGAATATAAATTTTTATTTTTTTCATTGGCTCCAACTCGTTTATGTTTTATTACATTCATACATTTTTCAGATATTCTCTGTGCGATAACATATTTAATAAATTACACGTAGTATAATTTACGGTATTTTAATTTCTCCGAAATTTCGCGATTCGCTAAGTGGCCACTTTATAATCTAAAGCGTACATCAAACTATATTTTTTACGACGAAATAATTGCAGTTATAGTTTGAGCTTTTCTCTGTCTTCTTAGTCACTGGAAATGTGCTGGCATTGTCTTATACTAACAAAGGGAGAACATTTGTATGTATATGTACTCGTATGTATTTAACTGTGAATGCACATTGATAGCAGTACGTACTGAATAGGTAAATAAATTATTTAATTTGTTTGTGATATTTTTGTTCAATAATATCTACATTTAATAGCCAGAATAATATTATTTTTCACTTTTGGTTGATCAAAAGATGAGTAATGTAAAAAAGTAATATTGTTGCTAGGGTTTATGTTCATTAACTTGGTGAACTCTCTAATGTTATGTCATAAAATGTTGTGGCGGCTTTATGCTCATACGCACACGTGTTGGTTATAAACATTTAATATTTAATACTTGTGTTAATTTAGTTTAATAGTCGATAATTGATATTTTTTGCCTAATAAACACATTGAAAATTGTAAAAAAATTGAATTGAATTTGCCCAAAGGTGTATATATGTACGAGGGGGTTAATAAAAGTTCGGTCAGTTTGTGATTCCCAAGATAGGTGAGGATAGGTCAGATGAAATTTCACCACCAACGCAAACAGAAATTCGCCATGTGATTTTCCTCCAGTTTCGGCGTAACTTGAAGCCAATACAATGGAAGGAACGATTGCAGAGACTTTAAAGGCTATGACAATGATTGCTAATGAAATGGTCTTGAATGCCAAAAGTAATTACTGCTAACTTCAAAATTTTACACTGAAGAACGCGCACACCAAAAGCTTTAAAAAATTTATTGGAAAACAGGAATGAAGAGGATTTGCGGCGCTACTCTTTTACATCATGACAACGCGCCATCCCACACTGCTGCAATAACGAGTAATTTTATTGAGATCTCTGTGGTCGAAGAAATATGTCAAGTACCATATTTCCCAAACATAGAATCTTGTGACATCTGGTTATTTCCAAAAATGAAAAAAAAAAAATTTAAAAAGAAAGGTCATTCATGGCAACGAGGAGATAATTAATGCGGTTAATTCTGAACTTGATAAGCTTAAAATGCTAGATTCTGAAGACTACTTTTGGAAGTGCATCTATAGGCTTAAGAAAAGCATTGAAATCAACTACGGATATGTAGAGAAGATAAAAAAGGACAAAGAATATGAATAAATACCAAAATATTTTTTTTTCTGGTCAAATTACCGAACTTTTGTTAATCCCCTCTTATATGGTTGCCTGGCTACAAATTTATATCAATTTCGCCACTTTCACGTAATGAAATTGTATTTATTATATACATGTATTTACATAAATATATGTATATATATATATTGTGTTGATAATCTCATGCAAATTATATATTAGTTCCTCGAAAGCACGCGAGTTCCTAAAGTTCATTTTAAATTGATATAAAAAACCATTGCCGAGCTTTGCGCAATGCAGAATAAAATAAATATTATGCCAGATCCTAAATAAAATGTTAAGTACTCCCTAAGATCGGGGCCCCAAATTATAGATTACAGATTTACATGCAAACAGTAAAATTATTGATGGTTACGTAAGAAGCGAAAAGGAAGAAAAGGAAATCATATTACAAAACAGAAGAAAATTAATTAGTTTTTATTGTACGTGATAGGGATTTGTGGGGATTGTCCATATGCCACGTAGCTTGGTCAAGAGGGGCTACGCGTTAGTTTAAACTTTACGTCTAATGCTAATTTTATCGAATAGATTTGTTGCAGGTCCACGTTGGATCGGGCGTTTTGGGGAAGGGTCACAATTTACATTTAGGGTGGAAGATGTATCACGGCTGCTGGATTTCACTTTGACCTAACTTTAAGCTCAAAAAAAAATTCTTTCAATTACTCATCGAAATAATATTAAATATACGGCAATGTGTCAAGACATTCGGATGCCAAGAGTTCTTTTAAATTTTGTGGTTGTTGGTTAAAAAAAAAACAAATTTGATAGGCAATAAATGTATTTAAGTTCCGTTTTCAGGGTTCGCTAGTCTTATTGTCATCATCTTAAATCATTATTGAACTGATGATGTTATTTATTTATTTAATTATTATATTATATATTTAGTTTTGGATTCCTCATAATACAATATTTTAATTGTTTTTGTTATAAATACACTTTCCGTTATTTTTTAAATTCTTACTCACCGTACATTCGTTACTGTGATATTGCTAACTCCATATGCTTGAATATTCCGGAATAAGGCACGATAACCGTCTGGTCCGCTACCCAAAACAATACCAATTTCATCAATAACGACCGGCTCAATCTAGAAGTATGGAAATCGCGTAAATAATTCGCACAATTATTTATCATCCATCAACATATGCTTAAACCGCACTCACTTCGAAAATATCCAATTCAGGTACACCCTGTCGCAGGTAATGTACTAATTTGTTGCCACTGTCACGCAGGCATTCGTTAACATATTCCTCATCACGCGGACACTGTTGTAGGTAATACGCTGAAATTGTTGGAAATAAATATCAAATGACATAATAAATAAATAATAATAAAGTGCTAAGCCATTTAATTGGTATTTTGCCTCTATAGAAATAACGGTTATGAGAATTAAAATGCAAATTTGATTAAGAATAATATTATGGCAAAAGGATGATTCAAACGTAGTCACGTTCCGTGCTTCAAGAGAAGATTATAGTACACATAATGTGCGTGAAAATCTAAGCGAAGACCCGAATGTGCTCATTTCTGGACGTTCTCAAGAGCGTATTTTACACTTGGACACCCGCATCGACAACTTTGAACGAGATAGCGCACAGCCCAATATGTGTCAAAAAGTGGACGAACATTCATTAAAAAATGATTTTAAATGCCTTTTAATTACGTTTATTTTCGAAAGCCCAAAATGGATACAGCAATTCCTACGTCTTGTCAACATACCTTTAACACGAATTAGAAGATGTGTTTAACATTCGGTACCACCTCGTTCATTCATCGCTGCCAAAACATACATATAATATTATATACCGTTTGTTTCTGTCTGTTCGCTTGTGAAGATTTTTTATATCAAGTTTATCTCTCATGGTAAAAAGCAGTTTTCACAAAAGGCATTCCATGTGAGGAAGGCAAGTTTGTGGTAAGTAAATTTATACTAAACGGGCTTAAACGTGCCACTCTCCATAGAAACTCACGTGCTAACGACACATGCCAACATGTAAATTAATTCGAAATTGAAAAAAGAAATACCAGATTGATCTAGAAACTTGCAACGTCATGTTGCTACTTTCTAAAAGCAATCTGTAGACACTTTGAATTAAAATATTTTAATAAATGTTTTTAATAGTCATAAATTTAATAATCGGACATAATTATTCGTTAGTTCAAGAAAGTCAACGAGGACAAGTGTTATTAAGTGTAACTGTAATTATAAATATTCTCTTCAAATGCAATGCTTGGAATTTTAATAATACAAGTTTGTGTATATTATAAGCTATCATGGCATGGCGGGTATCTTCTAACCCAAATGTTGTTTCATTGCCTACAGATACACTGAACGTGATGTGTCGCCCACTTCCCTACGAAGCTACCTGCTCGTGTTTGTTTAAAAAGCTTGAGCCTCTGGCATATATACATAAGGCCAGAGTACCATTGGTCACTTGGAAGGCTTGTATGCACAAAAGGAGAGCTAAATCAGTCTTGGAGTCAAGAATCTTCAATCCTTGTTTATATCTTAAAAGAAGATTTCAGTTTAAGATGATCAATCGTAACCCGCCATGAACTTGAAATCATACTCCTACTTTGTTCCAAAGCATGTAATTACAAAAGGTATAATAGCATTAGCCTCACCTCATAAGCGTTAGCTAATGGGTTCGGATGAGGTACTTCGTTCTGCTCCTTTCAACTTAAGGCTTAACTAGAATGATGCTTCTTTTGCATATGGTTCAAGCAGCTCACGAATTACGGTCTTAGACCAAGCATCTCCTGGGTAGCCAAAAAACATCTGTTTGGAGGCGAGCTGAAGTGAGGAGGCGAATCCCATGAGGTTGTGCGTAGGGCTTGGCACCCACCACATGAAAAATAAACTCCAATGAAAAATTACATTATGCCTCGGATGAGAGATCCCTCCTTTTGATGACGACCCTCGCAAATGTTTTGAAAATTATGATTTGAGGTCATGCACCTGGAATGTCCGGTCCCTTAATTGGAAAGGTGCCGCTGCCTAGCTGGTTGATGTCCTCATAAAATTAAAGGCTGACATCACGAGTACTGGCATTCACGCCACAATCCACATCAAGCGTAATTCATATTGTTGATTTGCGCCCACGCCCCGACGGAAGGGAAGGACGATGTGACCAATGAAGGCTGCCCCCACCACGATGTAAAAATTGTATTTGGGGACATTAACGCCAGGGTGGGCAAAGAAGGTATCTTCGGCACAACGATCGGAAATTTCAATGGATTGAGGCTAATCGACTTCGCCGGGGCCCGAAATATGGTAGATTCCAGCACAAGAAAATACACCAAGCTACTTGGCTGTTCCCTAATCGAAAAACGCAAAACCAGATCGATCATGTTGTGATAGACGGAAGACATGTCTCCAGTGTTCTTGACGTGCGCACACTCCGAGGGCCTAACATCGCCTCGGATCACTATCTTGTTGCAGCGAGGATACGCACACGTCTCGCATTCGTTAACAAACACAAGGAAGGTTCGACCGCGAAAAGTTTCCTACGTCACTGTTGACAGTCACAACTTTAAAGTCGTAGATAATTTCACCTATATAGACACCAGCATCAACACAAACAATATTGTCAGCCTTGAAATCCAACGCTGAATCACTCTTGCCAACAGGTGCTACTTTGGACTGAGTAGACACTTGAAAAGTAAAGTCCTCTCTCGGCGAACGAAAACCAAACTCTACACGTGGCTCATCATACCCATTCCACTGTATAGCGCAGAGGCCTGGACGATGTCGACAGCTGATGAATCAGCTTTGGGAGTCTTCGAGAGAAAAGTTTTGCGAACGATTTATGATCCTTTGCGCATTGGAAACGGCAAATACCTCAGACAATAGAACGATGAGCTGTACGAGTCATTCGGCAACATTGATATAGCTTAGCGAAGCAGGAAGCAGCGGTTACGCTGACTAGGTCATGTGGTCCGGATGAATGAAAGTCCTCCAGCTTTCAAAATTTCCGATGCAGTGCCCGCCAGTGGAAGCAGAGGAAGAGGAAGACCACCACTCCGTTGGAAGGATCAGGTGGAGAGTGACCTGACCTCGCTCGGTATTTATAACTGGCGCCAAACAGCGCAAAAAAGGGATGAATGGCGCGCTAATATTAATTCGGTTATAATCGCGTAAGCGGTGCCAACGCTAAAAAAGAAGAAGAAGAATTATGATGCTAAGCCATGAATGGAACACGGTGTGCCCGCTGTTATTCTTAGAATTACGGACTGGAATCTCTGTATTTTCACTGTGCAACTTTCTTTTGTTTACAGGCTTCTCTTGAGGTCAAATCTTCACAAGCCAAATCCTTCTCTATAGACAGGAACACATGGTAATCACTTGGTGCGAGGGAAGAACTATAAGGTGAATGAATAAAATCCCCCGTGCGGAGCTTCTGGCAAGTCACTATGAGTGTGTGTGGTCTGGTGTTGCCTTATTCACAACCAACTGTTTTGGAATTACGGAAAAATAGCAAAAATAAACTACCCCCGCTATACCCGCTTCATAACTTTTTCTGCCTCTGGTAGATGAAATGCTTGTCGTAGATAAAGCATTCACGAGACCTTGAGTAGGAAAGCGCTTCGAAAACTGGTTGCGAGGCATCCAAAAGCTTACTGAGATTCAAGCAGAATCTTATAGAAGACAATGAAATTGTTCTTCAATATATTTATATGTAGATATCCATGCGACACAGCACTCATTCGCTCTCCATCATAGCATAAACGTGCACAAAACAAGTCATTTGTTCCATACTTACGCTGTTCATCCTCCTGAGCGTTTGCCGAAATCCAGCTGATTATCGTCAAAAGCGTAAATAAACTGAGTTTAAACATGTTGTTAGTGTTTATTTTCACCTTGCGGAAAGTAAAAGTGTTAGATTTTTTCACAAAATGTCAGTTAGCACCTCTTCAAAGCCACTCCTAATTAGCACTGATTTGCTCGTAAAAGGGCACTATCTGCCTTGCGTCGTACGAATACTTCACCAAATACGCGACAAACTTTGCCAGCGAAAGTGCAATGCAAAGAAATTCGAAATTAATGTACTCGTACAACAGAAATTCACAGCAACAACATGCAATTTCACTTTAAAGCACTAAATTGTGACGCTTCTTCTGCGAGGGGAAACAAACAGAGGACAACAACAACAATATGTAAATAAATAAGACTGGAATGTCAGTTAAGTGGAAATTAGGTCAAGACTTTTAAGCCATACACATGCTCATTTGTACAAAAACACCGTTAGTATGCGCGTTGTTAGCCAGAAGTTAACACATAATATATTGTATGTACGTATATGTACACACACAAACACACACTCAACACACGTGAGCTGCCTCTAATTATACATTTAAAATTCTAAAGTTTCTCCGTATTCTTTTTGAATGACCGTTCGGAAATGCGCGGACTCGTCTGCCTGAAGAACGTACAACTTTCACGCGGTGTGGGCCACAAATGAGCTCAAACTCTGCCAGCCAAGGTGTTTTAACCAAGTTTTATTGGCTGAAGTGCAAAGCCAAAGAGTCCATTGCTTATGTGCGAATGACGGTGGCAAAAGAAATGAAGAAAGTCAAAATGAAAATAACAGCTAAAATAACAGCAGTAAAGTTTGAGCGTAGAGAAAGCAAATGCGTTGCCATGAAATAAAATATATATGTATTTATACGAAGATATGTATTTACAAAAATGTAAAAATTAAAGCAGAAAGGCAAATATGTAGAACAAGAAAGAGTTGAAACTAAACATATGTATGTACATGCACGTACCTGCTTTCAATGGCTGTGTGTGCCTGCCTCTGCGTGCGCAACAGTTGCTTGACCACTTTTATTAAAAAAGCAGAAGAATAAATTAATCTGCCTCAGACCGAGAGCACCTTCACTTGCAACATTGGCAATCCGTACACAGCTGTTGTCATAATAATGACTAAATATAACAACAACGCAACACTACAGCCCTCTCCACTCATATGCGTGAGCTTGTTTAACCCTTAACCCCTTCCCTCCCTACACATGTCGAACAAAGGACATGCTTACTGGCCGCGTAACAGTGTGCGAAAAATCACTAAGGACGTTGAAATATTGGGTGCCTAACAAAAGTTTGAAAGAATCAGAGTAACCCCGAATCATGTATAATGTGAGTATATGAAGAAAAATATGTGTGCGAAGACAGTCAATTTTTCTTGCTTAAAGCTAAATATTTTTATCATGAAAATTCCATATATTCGTATACAACTTAGAGTTCTTCCATCCAGGACAAATACAAGAAAAAACGCCTTTGACCTTTACTTTCTTGGACATTGTGATTTCTTAGGGTGTAGCTTGAAAATGCATATCCGCTAGAGGATTAATAAAAGTGTAGTCATTATATGACTCTTGTTTGGAACATTTTATTTTTGAAAACGGATATTCATTTAAATTTTATAAGATTGCTACAGGTAACGCGGCTTAATTTAAAAGCCTGCCTCTATGGAGCTAAAAGCAGCAAATCCACTAAGCTAAGCGATATTCGGCCGAGCTGTTGATCCAATTTTTTGCTTTGCGTCTTGATCTGTTTTCAACAAACAACAACAGATTATTCTAACGGACCTCCGAATTTTCTATACCTCGAAAAAGGAGAAGCTGAAACTAACGGGGTTTTTAAGCGCATGGTTTTCAATGAGCCAATGTTGTTACTTCCTCCGGAACAACGTTTGTGCTTCGCGAAAATTCATAAGAGTTCGGGGAGCGCGACACATAGCGCGCTGTGCTAAGTATTCTGTCGGCATAATCGCCCAGCTTAGTCGGTATTTCAAGCACCGATTCACTCTAGTGAAGCTATAAAGCTGCAGTGACTAATTTTTTGGGGCTGAATTGGAAGATGCACTGTGCCGCACAACTGATCAGAATTTTTAAAATGAAAAATGAAAAACATTATAAATAAAGGTTTTCCAACTAGCAAAACGAGTTTGTATTAGTACCCCCATATGCTGAATGCTCAAGTCTTATGTACATACGAGTATGTTCCTCGTATGAAGACCAGCAGAATGGGAGTTCCCTCTTGGCATTCATGCCACAATGATTATGCGCAAATTATGTAGTAAAAAATACATACATACGTATATGTATGCACATAACAATGGTATAAACAAAATGTGAAAAAATAATAAATGGCTGCCTTACACATGTACACGTATATGCATCTATGTAGCTGTACTATAAGTTTAAAGTGTTCGAAAGCTTTTCAAAGACATTAACTTTAGTATGAAGTGAGATATACTCGTGCAGTAGTTAAATATTTACAAGTCTTAAATTTTCAGAATCGGAAAACACACAATGCCTAGCTGTAAGCCGTTTCTTTTGAAAGGGCTGCTTATTATTTCCAAAAATGTTTGAAGCTTCGCATTTATTTTTCCTCAAAATCCGAAACCTCTCGCTGAAACAAAGATAACATGATACGAAATTCACAAATTGCAGATAAATGCTTTCCTCGATTATTTTTCCTGTGCAGGTTCTTGGCTGAAAGTTGTCGTTCCGAGAGAGGAACTATACTAATGCCCGATATCTGGCTGAATCAGAGGCCAGTTATTACGTGACTGAATACCGATGGATGAGTTAGTTGACAACTGATAACCCTGAATTAAGTCCGTTGCAAGCCTTGATTGAATTCCTAGAATAATGTTGTATTTGCACTTTTTTATGAGAGTGATGAGCACTGTGAGTCTGCTGTCTTTATGATGAATATTTCTGTGCTCATGAACTTCATTGTCATTCGCTGTTACAGGGCACTTACCTTTTGCCGCTTTCTTCCGCACTTGTGTCACCGCCAGCTACATTGTCATGATTACCCATACAAACATGCAAGCACTAAAGGCGAGCATGTTCTTCTATAGATGCATGTAGTCGACTGCATAGTAATGACCTTAATGGCACTGTGTAATGTGCAAATAATTAGTGTAAGAAAACTTGACTCAATCACTTTAGAAAATATGTATGCTAATGAAAAATAAATATACATACATACGTATACATTATTTTAAGAAAAATTTTAGATCTATGTGCATGCAAAGAGATATGTACATATGTATGTGTACGAATGTATTTGAATAAACGTACTGGGCGTTCAATTTATCGTTATAATGAACTTGAAATTGTTATTGTTGTCCACTGAATTCATCTCGCAAAAAAAATATTTGTTGTAAGTGATTTACCATTTTCATAATTATTGATTTGGTGCCATTAAAATGTCAACACACTCTTCATTTTGCATTTTGAATCACTTATTACAAATGTCTTTTTCAATAAACAAAAGGTAATTGTTTGATAAATTCCAAAGTTATGTTGTTGCTTGCTTCGCATATTAATTTTATATTTAACAATAAATCAAGTCACTGAATGGAATAGCCACCAGTGTAAATTCCGGTGAGAGGTGAAAAGTGTTGCCTACTTTTAGGCTGCGCATGCACTGCTACAGTAAGGGTAAAGATATGAAATTCAATAAATTGATTTCAATTATAATAAAGTTTGTACGAAAACGCTCTTACAGTACGCACTTGAAACGAACGCATAGCAGGAAAGGGAAAAATCAAACGGAATTATTTATACACAACTCACTTGTAATAAGTAGAAGTATGAAAGAGTTTATTAATTGTTTCTGATGTAGGGAAAATTATCACCGATGAGTCGCTACTGATGTAGTGGCCACCGTTTCCTATCGGAAAGTCTCAATGGCGGTGTATGAATGTGGTATATCGAAACTTTTGTCTATTTGGAAAAATTGAAAATCTGGGCAGTGTCGACTTGACCTCTTATAACAACCAGCGACTCAGCGTAGTTGGAAATCTACATTAGCGGAAGAGGGAGGTTATGGAGACGAACTAATGAATAAGAAGTTCATTATAGAAAAACAGATAAATAAGTCATATATGGCCTATCAAACCTGCAAGAGAAAGCCGGAGAAACTGTGTCCTCAAACGAAATTTAGACATATGGATGCTTAAGGCCATAATGAAACAATACCAACTGCAGCGTGTTAGGTCATCTCCACATATGGAGTGGCAGCTCAAAACACTATTAAATAAATCAGATTATATATTCCCAAAGCTATATTTAAGTAGCTGCTTCCAGGTGAAGATACCATCTAGATCTAAATATAAGACGGTTCTATCTATCTTTGCAGCTACCGAAAACAACAAGCATCTTCCAAGGGGAAGTAGTACCTAGAGCAGTAGAGCTCTAATGAGTAACTACGAAGAGATACAGAAGAAAGATAGCTAACTTAAATTTATGTTGGTTCCCGGCAACGGAAACATGAGAGCATTTTTGGCAACGAAAGAGCTGACGTACTGTGCAAGTCAGGAACAAAAGAAAGCTTCTCTAACTATTTGGTCATATATCACTAAACAAATGGATAACCATATCGAACTGTAACGAATTAAATCTGGCTCATATTATATGAGGTATTCAAAGCAAACGCCCAATGAAAAAGGTCAAAGAAACGTATATGTACAGCTACTAACACGAGTCATATATCAAAAATGGGCCTATTCTGTAACAGCCGTTGCTGAAGCTACGAATTAGAAGGTAATAAGGACGCATGAATCCTAATTACCTACAATTCGACATAATAAACGTGGAATGCATCAGGCATTAAAGCTTGAGTGGCTGTACATAAAAGAAATTTCGGATATGAGTGGTTTTATTGAGGTTAATTAATTAAATATTCGAATTCAACAATGAATCTTCAAAAAAGTTGTATTAAAGTTTAACGGTAATGCATCAGAATAGCTCTCGCAGCTCTAGTTGCGACCAAAGTCCTTCGGCCAGCACCTTACCCACCCACCTAACTTACCCCTTCCAATTACTCAAAACATATTTGCCCTTTATAAGTTCAATTTTATATGTATAAGTTTTCCAAAAAATAGCTGGCGTAGAAAAAGTTCTCAGAGCAAAAGTTGTGACCCAAAATAGCCAGAAAAATTGTAATGAAACACAGTTTTCACGTTTTCTTTTCGTTCTTTAAAAACCATGTTTTAGAACTTACTGGGAAGCAGTGCCTTGGAAAAGATGGCTGCTGCGAAGTTTTTTGCGAACATTTTTTTCGCGAAAATTATAAAATATTTGTAATCCAGTGTTATTATTTAAAAGACAAATATTTTCGTATGCGTATCATTGTACTTAACGCCAGGACCACCTTGCGCAGTGATATTAAATCATATGAAACGTTTCAGCGGCTTTAACCATTTTTTTTGCCAAATATTTACTCTTCTTTTTGCATTCGCAAGGTCAATGCTGTAATAAAGCGAATGAAAAAATAAGATATTTACGGTCCGGTTTCGAGTTGATTTTCATTTTTCGCTTTACCCCAAAACAATAATAAATTTCATGTGGTATATATATGTATGTATGTTGAATGTTGGTGATTTCATCTCTTGATTGTGAAGATCTTGTAGTGTTTAGCATTTACTCTTGCTGAATTTTTGCTTGTTTTTGGTTGAAAAA